CAAAAATCAATGCAGGCAACAACAGCAGTAACAGTCCACAAAGAACTGTACATATAGAAAGTTTAAACCTGCAACCACCACAAGGCACTGCGACATACAACAACCACAAGAGCTCATTTTCTAATATCTTATCCCTATATGACTTGTTGGCAACTGCACTGCACAGTTTTTGTATGGGTTAGAGACAGGAATATGCCTTCCACAAAGAATATAAAAAGAATCATGAAACATTCAAAGAATCTTTCAAATTTTCCCATCATGAATAGGTGAACAAATCACTCTTTCAAAGGCAAAGAGAATTAAATACTTGTAACCCCTGAATTTTAACAAACCCTTGCTCCATCAATAATTATATTCCTTTCTCCAACTGCATATCTTCTCACTTGGAACAAAGCAACATAAACTGCTCCTCAGAAAACCTCCCTATAGCTGCATGTGAAGAATTCTTCAGGAGTCACACAAACTGGTGAAAACTAAGTGACATTTCACAGCCACCTCTAGGCAGTCACCTCTGCAGAGCACAGTAAGAACTCCCCACTGAGATACTGTATTTTCAGCTGTAATCTGTCATTTCATTATCCAAATCCTGATCAAACGCCCATTTTTTTCATTCCTGTATAAAATTTGTCTTCCTGGGATTACACCTCAACAAGACAGACAAACATTTTACGTGGCAACATATGTATTTTGTACTTAAAGAAGGGATGGAAAACATTTGCTCATTCATTGCTTAGTCAACCATCTCATAGTAAAATTGTGATTCTCTGGAAAACTATCCAGGAATGAATCACATTAAAAACAGGTAACTGCTTCCTCCTCACACAACCCAAACAAGCCATTTTCAGTTATAAGCATCATTACCAAAGTGAACTTGGGAAAAAAAAAAAAAAAAAAAAGTACTACCAAACCATCCACAAACTCCCTAACAGAGGTAATTAAAACAAGCACAGAAATTCACAGATCTTCCAGGGCATTAACAGCAGACTTACAAGTGAGAAGAATACAACTAGGTTCTTCAGACTTATATTAAAACGGCAAATGCATTCAGGAAAAGACCTTTGGTTTTTTCAGACCTTTGAGAGAAACAAGCAATCCTATATTAGGAGGATTCAACTATACACTTTCATATCTAGCAGTATCAAACAGTAGTTTTACAATGCAGAAAAGAATGTAATCACCTGAAAAACAGTTTAATGCAAAAACACACCTCCTTCAAGAAGCAGATAAATCTTTCAGGCACAAGGAACTTTCCATTTGGAAGAAACACCCAAATCATTTGATGTATTTCCAGTATAGCAACCACAGCGTTGCATATGTTCCACTTCACAGCACTGAAAACAAGCTGAAGATTTGCAGTGGACTAAGTCAACATGCTACAATGTGAAAATACATAAACAAAACCAAGCAGCATTCTTTAGAAAAGGTGCAAAACTCCACTTTCCTGTATTTAACCTTTCCACCAAACACCATCTGTTTTTGCTTGCAACTCTCAATTCTCTCAACTTTAAAGAAAACCATCCATCACTCATAGGTAATGACATCCTTTCCAATCAACGTGATACAAAAGAGCATATCAACTAGGTAGGTAAACGTCGACTAGAGCACTGGTACTCCCACACAATACTAACACCACACCTCTGGGTCTTCATGGAGGAGACTCCCCACAACATCCTAGCAGCTATAAAGAAGGAACCATCACCCACAAAACAGCCAATGAAACAACCTTAAGAGGAGTCCACCGAGGAACAACCTGACAATTTTTCTATCTAATCCCAGCAGATCAAGGTGGGTAAGAAAATCCCTAAGAAGAATGGATAAGTTTAAGACTAAGTAAAACCAGAGACAAGAGTTTTTTTTCAAAAGAAAGCTCATACAGACTCCTAGTGCACTTCTGGGACCCACTTCAACGCTAGTTTGGTTTTGGGTTTTTTAGGTTTTGTTTGTTGTTTTAGAAGTTTTCGCTGTTGTTTAGTTTGTGTATTTCTTTTTTTTTTTCTCCACAAAACTGATGCTTATTCGCAGAGAAAAGAGTTACGTTACTACACGGTAACTTCGCTGGTGTTTACAGGGTAACCCCGAGGAGCAGGGGCAGCGCCGCAGGCACAAGGGACCTTTTTCCCGCAAAGTGCTAAGCGCGAGGTGCCTCCCCGCTTCATCCCCCGGGGCCGGGCGAGGAGCAGCCAAGCCCCGCCGGGACCGGGACCGGGACCGGGACCAGCCCCGCGCCGACAACACGACCGCACCGCCGCGCCCGCAGCCCCCTCGGCCCCGCCGCTCCCCCGCAGCTCGGGGCCCGCGAGGCGCCGCTCCCGGCCCGCGCAACCCCCAGATCGCCCCGGCCGCCGCCGCCAGAGCCCCCGCGCTCCGGCCCGGCCCCCGGCCCCGGCCCCGGCGCCGCCGCAAGGTCACGCGGCCGCCCCCGCCGGACGGGCCCTCGGCGCCTGCGCTCGGCCCGCACATACTCACCTGCCCGCGCCGGCCGGGCAGCTCCGCGGGCCACCGGGCGCGGGCGGCGGAGCTGCAAAAGGGAGGGAGGGAGGGAGGGATGGAGGGAGGGAGGGAGGGAGGGAGAGGGCGGGCGGGCGAGGGCCGGCCCGGGGAGCCCGGCCTCGGCGCGCCAGGCCGCGGCGAGGCGGAAGCGGCCCCGGCTCCGCGCCCCGGGCCCGCAGCGGAGGAGGCGCCGCCCGGCCCGGCCCGGCCCGGCCCGGCCCTTTGTGCGCGGGGACGCGTGCCAGCCGCGCCGCGCCCGGCCTCCCTCCCCTCGCCTCGCCTCGCCTCGCCGCGGGCCCGCAGCGCGGGGCAGGGCAGGCAGCCCGGCCTCGCCCGGGCGCCACCGCGCTCTTACCGAGGGATCTGTACGGGGAAAAAGGGTTAGAACGGAGCCGAACACGCCGCGGGCCACGCTCCGCTCCGCGCCGAGCCCAGCCCAGCGCCACCGCCTGCGCGCCGCCACAAAATGGCCGCCTCGCTGCGGCGCCGCCACCCGCCGCCGGGGAGGGGCGGGGCTGAGGCCGTGCGGCGCGCGCAGGGCGTCCGGCTGCCCGTCCCGCCCGGGGCGGGTCCACGCACAGGGGCAGGCGGCGCATGCGCCGTGCGGGCGGGGGAGGGTGAGGAAGGGGGTGGGGGCGGCGCGGCGTGGCGTGGCGTGGGAAAGCGTCTTTGTCTGCCCGGCCCGCGTAGCGCTTGCTTAAGGCAACGCCACGGCTGGAAAGCTGGCAGGAGCGATGTCGGACCCACGGCATACCGTTCGTACAGCTGCCTCTGGTACAACCGTGACACGGTGACAGCGTGACACATTTTCTGGAAATTAATAATGGTGTGTAGCTGAGGGTTATTGCTGAGGAAACGGGGACTCAAAAGGAGGCGTCAAACTTCCAGCGAACAAAAGAACCCTAAGGACCATGGTTGATTCTGACTTTAACTTAGGACCGGGTTGCAGAATTAAAACCGAAAGTCAGATCACCCTGGGTCGATGGCCTTGCGAGTGTAACTGCCCCATGCTGTATTTGTCCTCTGCTTGAGTAAATACAAATACCTAGACAGTGTCCTGAGCTGAAGAACAGCCCGACACTCAGGAGAAGCTCTATCACTGCGTCTCAGTAGACACGGGTACAGCAGCATCCATATTCAATTAAAAAAACATGCATAGTCTGCTGCAAGAAATGACTGAAAATAAATCATTCCCCCGTGTTACAAACACTTTTCCATAGAATTTAGGAGTTCAACAATTCAGTCAACTTAGATGTTTTTCACCACTTAACACAAACCAGGGCCAAAACATGCAATGGGGGTGTTGTCCTGAGGTGATGGGATCAGGCCTGGGGCTGATCATTGCCACAGTAACTCCTGTTATTTCCCTGCATAACCCTTCTTTGCCACCCACATCCCCTCCCAATAAACAGCCCACACTTGTTTATCTTCTCCCTATTATCCCTGGGGTTTCAGATTTTGTACTTTATTTGGTAGTTATAATAGCTGCCCTGAAAATGTATCAAGCTAACATCTCCTTTTCGTCTTGCTACGTGTGCCTTCTGCTTACACATCACTCCTTGTCTGCTCCATGTAGCATCCAGTAATTTGGTTTTTCATAGCGTTAGTGACACGAGGCAGTCATCACGCACCCCTTGACACAGCTGGTAATAGCCAGCGATTGAAGTTCACCAGAAGTACCCACAGCCAGGTTTGCAATACACCCTGGAGAGCTGCTTGCCCAAGATATGCAAAGGGCAGCGGGAGCAACTGCAGCTCTGGGCCTCACTGCAGCACTGCTGCATTTCTGGGGCTGCATCAGCCACCCTACAGCAAGTAGGTGTAGGATAATAAAATGGCAGCACTGGAATATTCCAGGTCAGAAGAAAACTAAGACTCTTCAACTTCTGTACAGTGTGATGAGTCACCACATTGCTTTTTGTTGTTGAATTAAAGTCTGGTGGAGAGATTTGTGATCTTTGCTGTGCAGACCAGCAGAAAAACCAGGACCAAACTACATAATCCTCAGTAGGATTCTAGACTGTGTCTGTACTAATTCCACAAAGGTGCACTGGAGAGCAAGTCCTGTTGCCCTGGACAGCTGCTACAGACCAGCACATGTCCTTGCACCTCAACAGCTCTGATCTGTGCTGTAGCTCGGCTGGAATGAAGTATTGGACTTTGTTCCTGTGACACAGATTACCTCCACAGGTCTCCAATTGTCTTCTCAGCCATGCCCACATTTTCATGGGGAGAGAATATTTACTTCATTCAAGATTAACAGAAGCGGATTTATTTTTAGAGTGGATGAGAGGGAACAAAAGCGTGGACTAGTATTAGGAACATGCCAAGTGACCAAGGGTACCAAAGAGAGGTTAGCAGCATGATGCAGTTAGGTACCAACAGCAGTGGGAAGTGTCTCTGGAAAGTAGAGCACTGGTAGGCAAAAAGTTAAAGGAAGGGATCTTTAGTAACCATGTCCAATACGCTCCCCTGTACCACGCATGTGATGGAAGGCAGGAAGAGAAAAATGGTGTTAGAAAGAATGGGATTTGCCTTTATTAGGTATGATGAAACTAGTGAGAGAGAGCTGATTTATCTGTACTGTCCACCTAAACCAAAACTGAAGTAAGATGTTAGGTATGCAACTAAGGAAAAATAAATTTACACAGGACGTTTTAAAGTAAAGCTTGAAGGAACCAGCACCCCTTGTGCTGATTCCTTATCTGAAATAAAAATGTCTTCCTCCTTGCATTACACTTTTGCTGCACCATTAGTCTGAAAGCGTTACCCCAAATCCCAGACTCCTTACTTCTCCAGCACCCTTGAGATACCATTCTGTAAACACAACCTCTGATCTTCTTCCTTCATCTGTACAAGGATGCGGTTTGGATGAAAGAACCCAGTTTACTGAATAAATAATTCATATCACTTTGTGTCTTTCTTTCCAATTACTATGTGTCAACTGCAAGTCTTAACTGTTTTCAGATCATTTAGAAAAATGTTCAACAGAAAAAATCCTCACAGACGCCTCACAGAAATACTCTCTTCATTCCTGTTTATACTTAAAATCTGTCAGTCAATTATGATGTGCCTTATTCATCTTGTATAGTTACATTTAAAATTATACGTCTTGTTGGTTTTACTATGCCTACTCAGCACAAAACTACTTTGATTGCTCATTAGTATGAGCTTTTCTTATAAGAGCATCTTCTACCAGCCTTTTTTTATTACTCTCTTTCAGACAGATAGGAGGAACATGAGCTGTCAGAGCGCTCAGCTCTCCCAAGCACTCAGCTTATCCATTTTAAAAAATGGCAAAAATGGCATCTGCTTTCTTCCAGTGCAGGACTGTATTCACCATCCTGAAATTTAATCAAAACTATCTTTAGTGGAGAAGAGATGTCTTAAGACAACTTTGGGAAACTATAATTTCAAAGCATGGGACAAACCTGTTCTTAGCAGAAACAATTTGACTGAAAACAGTTTGACCATGACTGATGCCACACCAGACAGAGAACAGCAAGCCAATCAATCAGGGAGATGTAAGATCAAAGATAAGAGGTGGTATTTTGTTTAGAGCAATAGCATTTATGTTAATTTATATTTTCAAAAAATCCTCATTAAGTTTATGGCTGGTTGCATAACACTGTAAACAAATCTGTTAACTGACTCTCTTTCTCTCTGTCTTCTCAAGTCCTGAATAGGTAACTAATTCTGTATTATCATTCCTGGAGAAATATTCAGTATTTTTTGTAGTTAGGTGATATGCTCTATCAGCATTTAGAAACACTAAAATCCATCAAGTAGAATTTTTTGCTTCCCTTGTGTATTTCCTAACCATCTTGCACTACTGGAAGTTTATTTTATTCCTATTTGTCACACAGGTTCAATTATTATGACACTTACAAAATGCTGACACTAAATCCCCACTTTTGTGGTATCCTCACATAGTATCAATGGCTCTTGCTAATCACCAAAGAAACCCCCACAAAACCCCACAGCTCCCTCACTTCTGAGTTACAGGCAGTTTCACTTGTAAATATTCTCCTCCAAAAGAAATTTACTTCCCCATACAAAATGCTTCAGCTGCATTCAGTGGTCTACAACTAGATGTTCATCCTTGGCATTACTTCTTTCTGTCATGGGGAAAAGCATCTCCACTTTTTCCTCATCTTGTCCTATAATCAAACAAACATTTGTTAACAGTGTGAAAGTTTCCCAAACCTTTACATATAGAATTTAAATCTTAGCACATAAGAGATGGTCGGAATCTTCAAGATTTGGGGATCCCTTTTCTCAAAATAATCACAATTTCAATTATTTGAGTTAAAAAAAAAAAATCAGGCACTGACTTTGGTAAGAATGACTTATCAAGAGTCAAATGTCAACCTGATGACAGAAAGAGCATCACAGAAAATACTGGAGTTTATTTTTCCCTGTTCTCTAATCCTGCAATTTAGCAACTTACTGATTGCGCTGCATAGTTCAGCCACAAAGGTGGATCCAAAAAGACTGAAAGTAGCCAGGTTTAAGTGTTATCTATAATTTGTTACCATCCATGAAACAGAAAGAACAGTTTCATAAACATAGTTCTAAAACATGTTGGTAAAGTGTTATCACATGCTTAATCCAGAAAACATATATGGCCCAAGGATAAAACATAGTACATACAACACCTCTAAAACCTATTTATGCTTACGGCAGTTTTAAAAATGTTGTGATGAAATATAAGGTGCCAGCCCTACAATATTAAAACTGCTAAAGCTAGTAATTTGAACAATTGAGGATTAGCTTTGCATTACACACAACCAAATCTGTCCCGGGTAAAAAACAAAAACCACAAGCTTCTGTGACACAAACCACCTTGTGAGACTTAGCTTCAGCTTTTATATTACATGGTTCATCCTCGAGGTAGATACCATCCAGAACTGAACACATGCTGTCTATAGGGTATATTAAATTTAGCAGCTAATACAGCATCTATCAATCAACAAAACTAATTTGAGAGCTGTGTGCTTATGCAACAGAAACAAAGGCACTTGGTAATACAGGCTTAAGTTTCCTACTGGGAAGATCAACAAAGGTAAGAAAGGAGAAACACTGATGCCATCAAACACTTTTTAACAGACACTTTCCCCCAGCATTTGCAGGGAACAGATTCCCATGTAAGTCTCTAGTCAGACAGAAGTATAGTCTGTCACACAGAGAAAACTCCAGAGCCCGATGTTCTTATTTCCAGACAAAACATCTAGGCTCAGCTGGGAAAGACTCCCTAAAGTGACAGAAACCAATAGCCCATAGGCAAACTCTGAGTAACAGCAAAGGACACATCACAAGAGGACGAAAAAAAAATCCAAACCAACAAAAAACCCAGACTGCCCTAAGACACTGTACTTTATCTGCTCTCCCCACCACCTCCACCACTCACGTTCCAACTAAACTGGTACTGCAACTGAAGATGACATATTCCGCCTATCCCTCTTCCCCAGTCATTCAAGTTTTCTTTCCCTAGAAAAAAAAATTCCATGGGAAAAACACAATGGAGGCGACAGCAAAGTGCATCATCTTTGTATCATAAATGCTAATGCAGAAGGATGTTTTGGATTACTGCACACTGGTCTACACAAGCATCACACAAAAAGAGATAAAACCAAAGGAGATAAAAATACTCAGCTTCAGAAACAAAAAAGTTAACTGCACATACTTAACTGTGAAGGCACATAGCCACACTGAGGCATCCTTTTCCTCTAGAAATGCCAAGCTTCTTCCTTTCTGAGACCTTCATGCAGTACAGTGCATCTGAGCAGCACAAAACCAGATGCTGTTGCAGGATGCCCACCTCAGAATGAACAGGAGGCTTGGCAATAGGTCTGTACTGCAAACAGAACCACTACACAGAATGTTTTACACTCAGAAGTAACAACCTCTTGCCAGGATTCCACTGGCCCAGGAGTAACATGCTTAATAGAAAAGAAAATACATTTCCAAATAAATTACATTTTAGCACAAATTTCTGTGTGTCAATATAAATGCAATGGGTATTATACTATCCTGCCTTTCTCCAGCAAAAAGGCTAGTTTAATTTTTGGCTTCTTAGACTTTGTGATCAGAAAGGGTAGTCTTTCAGTGAAATTACAAGTATCAGAAAACAGAAGCACTGCAGTATTTGTCCAGGAATGTACAGAAAATGCATTTTAATCCACATCCACATCTAGTCCATGGATAGCAGTGTTTTCTCAGTGCTGAGTCCATTTAATGCTTTTGAGGTCAATTCCATCCTGCACCATTTCCCAGAGGGGGCTGTAAAGAAATGAGAAAAATGAGGGCTATCTAAAATGCACAGGATGACATCATCAATAACCAAACCAACAACTTCATCAACAACAGAAGGAATTCAGAGATACCTATCTTCCCCTTCTGGAGGTCAGTAAGAGAGCTTCAGATGGTCAGTCCTCAACTGTGTCCTCAGCCCAAAATACAAGAGGTGAGGGTAGGTGCACCCTCATTTCCTGCTCCCACTTTTGGCATGAAGTACTCCTGTCTATTAGAGACTTGAGCCCCTGCATTTGACACTGTCCAGATGAGTCAGGAGTCTTTCAGTTTCACCAAAATAAAACAGTTTATCATTACATAAACTCAGTAATACCATCTCTGGCTTAGAAACTTCTAGGTACTGCCCTGCATGCTTGCCCTACTCCTATTCTTTCCCTGACAAAGGCAGGATCTGGGAGGAGCTTTGTTTCCTTAAAAATTTGTCACTACTGTTAAGATCAGGCCCACCACCCACTCTGGCAACACTGTTTGCTTATATACAGAGACAACACCAGATTTTAGGGAGCAAACAATTACTTTCAACTAAATCCAAATCCTCAAATGATTATCATACCTAAGAAATCTTTATGTTCAATAAGAAGATGGCTCACCTCATTTCCCTCAGCCTCTTAACATGCTGTATGCACTTTTGCACTGTATAATCCACTTCTTCTTCTGTAGTGAAACGACCAATACCAAATCTAAACCAAAAGAAAACTATTAAGGACTAGAATAACATGCATATAGAGTGGTGGAACAAATCCACCACCTGCTTTTAGCAGAAAAGAAAAATATTTGGAAACATTAAGGAAGACCATTCCATGCACCTTATAGATGAGTGAGCCAAGTCTTCGTCTGTTCCAATTGCCCGCAAAACATAGGAAGGCTCCAGAGAAGCTGATGTACAAGCACTAGGGAAAGGGAAGGCAGGCAAATTTCAAACTTCTGTTCATATGCAGATGCTACACTGAGGTAACACTTCATTAATTTCCTCCAACAAAGAATAAGTCACTTAGACATTTAATGTTACTACAACTCTTTACAACAGTCTGTATCAGCTTCCCCAGCCTCAGAGAAACCACCAGTGAATACAAGCAAGAGTGGTATTTCTGCTGCTCAGAAAAAGAATGGCAGAGGCAGGAATTAGAGGGGAATGAGGGTAACAAATCAGGAGCATGGAGTAAAAAGAAAGAACACAGATAATGCAGTAAGAATAAACACACTGCCAAACAGAAGCAGTGGGAATGCAGACTAAGAGGTAGCTGAAGTGAAGGCCATGAAAAAAAGACAAAAGAGCCAAGACAGAATTAGCCAGAGAAGGTAACATACCAACGGGAACATTAAAAAAAAAGATAAAAAGACTTCACAAGCTGCTGTTTGGCATCAGAACAAATAAGTGAAGAACAGTACACAGAGGAATCCAGAGCAAGACAATCTAGTTATAGTCGTCAGCAGAGAGAACTTTCATCTTGAAGCAGTAGGCAAAACTGGTTACATGTTGTTACTCAATTTTTACAGGTAGCAACATGCAGCACAAACCAGAGAGAGATGTTTACAATCTTTACTGGTGCACAAAGCAGAGCCTCAGAAGAGATTTTCAAATTACAGAAGCGTTTGGCTTCAGAGACAGTCATGTGGAGACTTGTTCTTCCTGTTCATAGTGCCAACATATTTCTAATTAAGATATGCCAACTGCATTTTTTCTCAAAGGTGAGGAAAGGAGGGCAGATATCTTTACACTCCATTAACTTCATCATAAGCATCAAGTTTGTCTTAGTAACAGAAATGTTACTTGTCACTCCCGTAGAGTCACAGCTCCATAAAAGTGTATTTAATTTTCTTTCTGCCTTTGCATTAAACACAGGCACTGTGAGCTAATTTAGTTCAGATATTTGTCCAGCCTCGGTAGATTCTAGTCACAATCTGCCGCTTGTGTGAAATCCTGCTGAAGGACAGAAGCTGCTCAAATGTTGGTAGCCTACAGAATGAAAGTGTCACCGGCAGTTACAAGTCAAGGCTACTCAGATTCCAGGTAACGAGCCTGCAAGGCTGGCAGGTAGTAATTTCTAGGTTGGGTTTTCTGTTTGTGGGGGTTTGTTGTTGTTGCTTGTTTTGTTTAGGTTTTTTTGGTTGGTTGGTTGATTTTTTTCTTTTTTCCTCTTTCAGGATGAAGTAAATTTGACCTTAATTTGAAACGTGCCACTTCAGAGAAACACCATTTTAGAATGCAATCAATGCCAGGCTGATTCATTAACCCAATACACAAATATGGGCACAGAGGAGACCATTCCTTAGTTTGTACCCTCCACTAGCAGATGTTATTTTCTCTCCAAATATACTGCTATCCCTCCCACACATTCCACCTACCTTCCTGAAGACAGAGCCACATCTTTCAGAGCCATCAGAAGACTCTCCCCTTCCACATAAGCAAAAGATAAATTGATGCATCCTACATACAAATAAATGAAATAGGAAAAAAAAAAAAACCTTCCATCAACTGAAATCTCAGGCAAATCCTACCCCACCTGGCAGTATTTGAATAATGTGTAGCTAGAGTGCATTACTCAGTCATGGCCATAAACAATGAGGAGCTAGATGGTTTCAACAGGCTCAGGATTTTGCTAATGTTACCTGGATAGCGATGCTCTCTGTCTCCATTCATAACCACATCAGGAACTTCATTCATTATTTTTGTAACCAGTCGTTCTGCCAGTTGTGAGATTCGCTTATGGTCATACTAGCAAAGAGACCAGGAAAGACATCAAAATAATAAACAGTGTACAGTTTGACCTCACTCAAACTGCTTTGTGTCACCAACCATGAGCAGACTGAAGGAGCTGGGTTCGGTTAGACTAGGGAAAGAACACATCTGAAACTTAAAAATAAACTGTCAAACTTTGCCTACTCTAGAGACTCTTTTAAAAGAGAATTACCAGATTAGTCCTAGCTAGCTCAGCCTTCAAAAATATTCCAAACTATTCAGAAAGATCTATGTATACAAGCTGGCAAATTGGTTTTCATAAAAGCACCAAGTTCTTTGTGTTTAAAGACCAGTTAAGTAATGCATGAGATGTTGCATTTTGCAACACTGGAAAGGGCATCTATTATGGTAAGTGCCCCTTATTTCCCTAGGAGCTCTCAAACTGTACTACATAAAGACATGGGCTCACAAGTTACTGTGAACTCAGCTTTTACAACACATAACCTACACAATGAGAACTGCCCATGTGCAGTGTCTTGTTCTAGACTAGAAAAAATGAGGTCACTTACACTAAAAAAACCAGTAAGGTATGGCATCAACTTTGGTGCACAGAAACAGCCAGACGCACACATGCAATTCATGCTTGTTCAGACGCTCGAAAAAGCTTTAGAAGAAAACAAGGCTATCTCAAATATTACTTGGTTTAGCAATGCCAAAACTCTGCCAGGCAAGGAAGAGAATGCAGATCTGAGGCTTGTGCAGGTTCAGGCACTGCAGGCTCTCCAGCCTCTAACAAGGCTTCCATAACCACCCAGCCCAGATGGCAGATCTCTGCCCGTCTCCCAGAAAGAAGCTTGATCCTATGTGTACAGATACATGGCTTATGCATTGCACTGGTGTTACATTAAGGGATTTTTACATTCCAGCTGTAAGGAATGCACTGGTGCCCACAGATATAGCAGCACACAGAGGCTTAGACACCACACCTAGCAAATAAACTTTACTGTCCAAGCTGGGAAAAAAATAAATTCTTAGTTGCAAAGCTGCAGTAAACTTGAACTTACATACATTTAACAGGTATGACAATGGACTAGGAAGTCTTAATTTTTCTTAATATACATAATGATATATTCATTTTGGAGTTGCTACTAATACATGCATGCAGAATGGAGAGATGAGTACAAGCGCTTAAGGCTGTATTTCACTAAAACTGTCAACTATAAACCTGTTGTAGAAAATCACGATTCAAATCACTTAAAGAAAAAAGAAACTTAAGCCAGATAAAAATCAGCTTCGAATTGCCCAAAACCATCCCTGAAGATCTCAAAACATTTACTTAGTGTTATAACATGAGAATCAGGTTTAGTTCAGGCACATGGACACAAAAAGACCTAAGGAACCCAAGACCTACCTGGCACTGTTATGTTATTTTCTGGAATCCAGGACAAATATCTTTTCCCACATACCTCCATCTCTTGCTGTGCCACTTCACACGCTGCCCCCAGGCCTACTGCTAAAGGAGTGGGAACAGTCCCAGACCGCAGTCCTCTCTCCTGGCCTCCCCCACTTTGCAGGGGTTCTAGCCTGACGCGTGGTCGACGACGAACATAGACAGCACCAACCCCTTGAAAACAAGGAAACCTGTTTTAGTATACACTCACAGTTCTGAAATGATGAAAAGGGACTCCAAGGTTTGGTAACATTCCTTATTTCCACAGCAAACACATATCTGGACCCCTCACAGTAGAAAAAAGTAGTGAACACATACAGAAGCCCAGTATTTCCTAGGAAATGGCATTTGTTCACACTGTTCATGTTCCTCTTTTTTCAGGCTCCCAGAGCTTCAGCCATGGGAGAAGCTCAGTTCTTCCGTGTGCTTCAGCTACCTAAAGATTCAGTACTTCCCTTACTTCTCACAGTTCCTGTGCACAGCTGAAGTTCTTCCCTTTGCACTGGAGTTTTCACGTGTGCATATTTCATTCACTGATGCTCCCTTACTGACTTCCAACTGAAAGCTCTAGAATTCCTCTCCCTGGATTACCAGGCTAGCACGAGTCCCAGGAGTCCTATTCCTTTCTTCTCATTAGGGACCCTCAGCAGCAGCACCAGTTTCCAAGGGGCAGATTAGATGAGCCAGTTCTGACTGGCAGCCAATTTTACTCTATAGTCTTCTCACCTGGAAACTTGATTTCTGTGTCTTCATGTGCATTGGCACACCTAACCGAGTGACTGTCACCACAGGAAGAATGGTTCCAACTTCTGGTCATCATTAAGTTGTGAAAATTTATGTCTGTCACCTACTCAAAGTTACTGGTTGGAAACTTAGATATGTCTTCAGCTCTCAGGAGAGCTTGTACAGAAAAAGAAGACATTGAAAAATAGTATTTTTGCCTTTTATTTCTGAATAGCACAGAAAATACAGCAAATGTGATTTCTGTCTTTCTACATCCAGTGTTACAAACTAAATGGACCATGATAGTGATAGTAGCTGAACTTTTACTACCTGGGAGTCAACTAGAAAATGCATAGCCAGATTTTAAACCCCATTCTGCCAACTAGATGCATGAATGGGGTTGGGGGGAAGAAGTCATTGGAAGTAGAAGACAACCAAAATCACTAAGAATTTAAAGCTTCCAGTTACCTTTTGATCTCCTTGTTGAAAGTTACACTTAGATCTAAACTTTTCCCTATAACCCAGTGTTTTCACTTCAACTGTTTCAGCATCAATGCTGCTACACACCAAGCAGATGACCCCTGAAAAGCCACTCCTCCTAATGCTGCCACCATTATAAGATACTGTTTCTTCCTTTGGTGAAGCCACCTCACAACTGGTCACCAATGAAGACTCACTTACAGCAGCTCTAAGTCTGGCAGCAGTGCCTGAACTACTCCAAAGTCAGTACAATAACAGTCCTAGAATAGTTTTCTATGGTTTAAGTAACAGTCACTACGACAGAGAGGCTTGACTTCACACCTTGTGTAGTTACCTTAAGGTTGGCATGGAAACAACAATTCTCTAGAAAAACACCTCTGTAAGTACCTTTGGGCCCATATATTTTATGGCCACTGATGCTCATTAGATCAATTTTCATGCCATTGACATCCATAGGAATTTTACCAATTGCTTGTGCAGCATCTGTGTGGAAGAAAACCTTATGTGCACGGCAGATCTCACCTGTAATAAAAACACAAAAGGAAAAAAAACCCACATTATCTCATCTAATTGTTATGATTCCAGTGATTCCAACAATGAATATAAAGCATCAGTTTATAGCAGGCACCAGTTATGAGCTGAAAAAGGAAGAAATAGGTGCTGTCATGTTTCTCGTACAGTCTAAAGCTGTGTAGGAGCTATTCTACGTGATGACTAGTTGGGCACAGGTTTAGGCAGGTCAGCAAGCAAGACTACGGAGAATTTCTTCCATTGAGAAGTTAAAAAGTCTTCTGCTGTTAAGAAGTTAGATTGTTTCCAAACACACATCTACCAAGTTTAAGTACAAATGGCTGCATGGGACATCCAAGTTTCCCCACAGGAATGACTCCACAGCTGGACAAAATTAAATTTTTTTTCTTGATTATTTTCCTTCTCAACACCAGTCCAATACAAGCCAGTTTTATTTCAAGTTTATACCTGCCATGTATTTTTATGCCCTTTCCTCTATTTTCCAAGTATTGCAATAGTCAGCTTCAAAAACGTTCTTGAATTGTCACTAGTCCTCACATGCACTGATTACTCCCACCTAAAGTCACTCAAGCCTACAATTAATGTTTCTGCATCCAGAGACAAAATATACTAAGGAACAAAATAATGTAATGTTAACGGGCAGATAACTGAAATATAATTTATTTTTGTCATCAAGAAACTCACAACTCATCTTCCACAGAATCTGTATCTAGCACAGTTGCATCCCAGACCTCTCCTCCGCACAAGTTTCGCAATACCTTTCACAGAAGCTGTCCTCCTGCGGTCCAGAAGGAACAGCATTGCTTCTGCTAATCACAGGCCACAGGCCTCACACAAACAGGATCTGAGGTTAACTCTGAAAGGTCTCAGTCCTGGCCTATCAGACTGGTTATCAAGGTGTTACGAGAATTTACTGTGGGAACCAGAGCTTCGTACCAGCTATCTCTGGCACTCAAGTGTGGGACCACAGTAACAGCCTTGACAAGATAAAGACAGGAGGAAAAGAGAGTCCTCGGGCCTGTGAGCAACTCACTGATGGTCAGTTACTTGTCAATGAAGAAATATAACCTTAAAGATCCTTGGGGGAAATGTTGCTTTGAGCACAATAAAGGAAAAAAAAAATGCAGATAAGCAAGAGGAAATTTAGCTGCACAACGGGCTAAGAAACCACAGCCTGGGAAAACAATACCCTCCAGAACCATGCAGTATGAACTCCAGGGCATAGAGCAATGCCTAAAAACTGTCTAAAAACTCAAACATCTTTTGAAAGGTCATCTTGAATATGAAGGGGGGTGGGGTGTTTTGTCACTGTCATGGAAAACATTATCAGGGAATCACCATGGGACCCCAGGAGCTGCATATGTGGGCCACCCGCTCACTCTGCCTGCTCCAACAACCCTGGTTCTCCAGACTGTTTTGAGGTCCCTATCTCTCCATCTGCCTGCTCAGAGCCTGGTTCACCCTCTCCCTGCCTCCTGTTCCAGAAATCTGGCTCTGAAGCGGCCTTTTGACCTCCAAACCAATTGCTCATTACTGTATATGGCAATATTGGGGGTGAAGAGGTATTTAAGTGTGGTGCTCATCATCCCCTGCCACCCCAAATTCTGCACATTTATCCTCTTAAACACTACAAGTGCTCAATAAACGATTACAGTATGCAAACTCAATTTGGCCAGTTATTCTGTGCAATTTTTTCATCCATTGTACAATTCAGAATGAAACTAGAAACGCTGCAGCTGATCTGTACTACAAGGCTATCGTTGCTGCAATACTCACTGTAAAAGTACTGAATTTCATCCTTTTTTCGCTTTTAAAATAAGTTTTTATTTGGGACAGCATTGTTATTTATTCCTTAACTAAACTACACCTAATCTTTTGCATCAGTAGCACTTGGCTATGAAAATATTAAGTAATATTAAGCAGAAGAGACATTAGCCGGCCTCTGGCAACCATGGTGTACTTACCAATGTCGTGAATTGGCTGCTTTACTCCTATTTCATTATTCACAGTCATTACAGAAACCAAACTGGTATCTGGTTGGAATGCACCCTCCAAATCCTAGTGAAATATTCAAACAGACAGAAGTTGTGACTAACAGCAGAAGCAAGACTGCTGTGCACACCATCAATTTGCTAGCAAATCTGAACCACCAGCCCCCAAACTAGCACATTACCAACAAACCACTTGGGTTATGACAAACAGTCCTGGTGAGAGCACTAATCCATGTGAACACAAAATTCCTGTAGGAAGAGGGGCGTGATCAATTGCATTTCTGCATATCCTAACCCTGGTATGCACTGTGCCACCTGACTTGATTTAATGGAGTCAGAACAGGCTTTTCCTATGTCTCATACATTCCTCTGAACTATTTTCTTTAGTGAATTAACCACTCACAAAACAGATTAAGCCACATGTAGACAAAGTGACGTTGGCTGTAAAGGAACTGCACTGTGTAAAAGAAAGTGTCATGCAAAGATGGGGTCTGTCAGCAAAATTTTCAGAGAATATGACTAACACTTCTGCACCTGCAGGCCTGATCCCTCTACTCCACCACATACACACATCATCTCTCCAAGCCAGATGACAGGGCTAGAAATAAAATGGATGCTGTCCTGTATTACAGGACATAAATGATGAAATGGGCATATACACCAGCTTCTAAGTCCCAGGACTGTGGCCAGCACACCCAGAAGGGTCAGTTCATGGACAGCAATGGGAAGGGAGTATTGTAATCGCTGTTGCTGATGCCTAGGGTAGCTCAGGTCATGAAATTTCACCACTAAACCCTGTATCAAAGCCAGGTCCATCCGAGTCATATACTGGGCTCTCTGCAGGGTACACAACAGCTCCACCTCCACAGGCAGGCGAATGGTGGGATAAGAAATGGATGTTTTGGTTGAGAAAAAGTCTAGAGCACCAGAACAGAAAATCCTTCTCCAACTGTGACGGAGATTTGACTGTGACTCTCATTCTACGTTGCGATATTTAGCATCCTTTCCTCTTTATCATCAAGAGAACACAAAGCTCTCCTCAGCATCAATTTGAAGCAAAAAACTCTTTTATTTTCACTTTCTTTCTGTCAGTAAACAACCTACCTTCAAATCTATGAGCCCATTTTTTTTGACAGGTAGATACGTGACCCGAAAGCCTTCTGTCTCCAAGGAACGGCAAGAATCCAACACACACTTATGCTCTGTTTGCGTAGTAATAATGTGCTTTTTTCTGGATTTATAGAACCTTGCAACACCCTGTGAGGTACAATCCATGAACAAGAAATTTGCTGTCAGGCCACTGAAGAAAGAAAGCTTTACGCAAAATGATCAGAAACAAGGAATTACTATATAGATATAACTCATTTGGGTCTTCCCTGTTCGCCCCAAAGTCATTGATTTAAAAGGTACTGACATGTAATTCACACTATATATTTCCATCAGCACTCATATTTCAAAGCATCCCAGTTTTCAGAAAAGCCTGTGAAAACGTCAGCTGATGTAAGTTCCAGACAATATTAACAGAAATATTTTTTAAAAAACATTTGCAATGGAGTCATACACAATGACAAGTCTGAACAACCACAACGTAAAGGTTAAAACACTACCTAGTCTTACTCAGAAAAAAAGTCTGTAATCAGAATATCCACTATATTTCATGATAAAAATTTTAATGACACAAACATAAGGACTGTATTTGGTGCATGTAAGATAAACATTGAGTATTATACTCTGTCCACAAAACATCCCCGTGTTTCTTTCAGGTATGTAGCAGAATACCAAAAGGAATAAATACAGGAATGCAAATATTTGCTATCTAGGCCAACATATTAACATTTAAACTGCTGAAAGATGCATATAATTATTAAGAGCATAATTTTAACATAATAACTAACTACCAGTATAACCTTTTACCTTGATTGCCATATTATTTGATTCTGTTGCACCACTGGTAAATATAATTTCCCTTGAATCAGCTCCTATTAAATCTGCAACTTGCTGTTTAAAAAGAAACAAAATATGATTTGTTTAGATAAAATGCAATGAATTCACCATAGCAAAACACATGCTAAATGTTTTCAAGAATACCCCCTTGATCCTCTGTCGTGGTTTCAGCCTGGTCGGCAGCCAACCACCATGCAGCCACTCACTCCCCCTTCTCTTCTGGCAATGAGAGGGGACAAATAAACCAGGCTTGGGGTTTGAGATAGGGCAGGGAGGGGCAAATCACCCATTATGGTCACAGGCAAAAGGCAGACTCGTTAGGGGAAGGAAAAAACCATACATTTATTACGGACACTAACAACACATAACAGAGTAGGACAGTGAGAAGCATTGCCACATCTTGAGAACACCTTCCCCCCTCCCCTCCCTTCTTCCCGGGCTCAGCTCTGCTCCCCATATCTCTACCTCCTCCCCCAGTGGCACAGGGACAGGGAATGGGGGGTGCAGGCAATGCTGCCTCCTCTTCCATCTTCAGTGGGGGAGCTTCTGGAACTTCTTCCCCCTGCTCCAGCGTGGTCCCCCTCTCACAGCAGACAGTCCTCCACAAACCCTCTCCGATGCGAGTCCTTCCCACGGGCCGCAGCGTTCCCCACACTGCTCTGTTGTGGGTCACCAACTTTCTCCGACTGGATTCCCTCCCACGGCTGCAGCCCTTCCCAAGCTGCTCCGGCGTGGGACTCCCCCGCATGCTGCAATCCTCCCAGCGCCGAACTATAACAGTGGGGGCCGCCTTTTCCCACAGGACCCTGACTTTCTTCGGGCACAGTCAACTTGGTCAGCCATGCGAAGCCCCTCACAGGCCATAAATCAATGTCTGCTCCCCCGTAGATCTCCACGGGTGGCAGGGGGGGCCGCCCTGCCGTCTCACCACAGGATACAGGGGGGTCTCTGCTCCGGCACACCTCCCCCCTCCTTTCTTCCTCCGTTCCTCCACTGACCTTGGTGTTCACGCAGCTGCCCCAACTCCCCCTCACCAGTCCCACTGCTCCTCACCACGTCCCTTCTGAAATACGTTATCGCAGAGGCGCAGCTGATGGGCTCAGTTTTGGTGCAGAGGTGGAGCTGACATGGAGCTGGGGGAGCTTTGAGAAGCTTCTCACAGGGGGCCGCCCCGATAGCCCCCTCCCCTGCCACCAAAAAACTCCACCACTCACTCAAACCCAGGACTGCCTCAAAATGATTACAGCGAGTATCTAACAAAGTTATGGCACAGGTACAGTAGTCTAAATGTCTGCATTAATACAAAATACATAAGGAACTCATAGTCATTAGCAGTAGTGGTATTAAGCATTAGTATGTCGTAAAAGAACATAAAAGTCAAGTGGACAAAAGCTCAGTACATACGACTTCAGAAAAAAGTTACAAAGACCCATACCTAAGATTAGGAGAATATTAAAATATGAAGCTAGCCCAATTACTGCAGCAGCACACTTCTGACCTCAGGAAACCAAAACTCCTGAGGCATCTTTGCCTAAAGTACTGGTTTCTGCCATTTCCGTTGCCCTAATCTCACTGTTTTTTCTTGCAATCAATCTGCTGAAGTACAGCTAAACAAAGAGGATGCTGCTAAATCCAGGCCACAAAGAACTAACGGGTTTATCATTGCTTTTGATTTTATTTTGACACTGCATTTCCTCACCAGCAGAAACCCAACAACGGCTGCAGAGAGCCAAAGACCCACCTGCCTCGCTTTCTCCATCGCAGCCTCGCTCTCCCAGCCGTAGGCATGAGTCCTGGAGTGGGGGTTGCCGTAGTAGGCCGTCAGGTACGGGAGCATGCTGTCCAGGACCCTGGGATCCTGTGGGACACAAACCACCCAGCCTCAAAAACAGAGATGGAAAAGCATCTCTGTCCCCCCGACACATGCCCCAGGATTAGTAACACTTCTGCTTCAGTGTCTCGGTTTAGCTCAAGCCAGATCTCAAAAACTTGAGGTTATTGTACATGATATACAACATAGCCTCCAGCAAATATGAATATCTGGCAATTATGTTCTGTGTCCTTGCATGTAACCTTGATCTGCACCAAGACGATCGCAGGGGAATGGAATTTTCTAAGCAAAAAATACAAGGTCTTAAAAAGTCAGGAAAAATTACACAGGTCAGTACTTTGGATAAATAAATTTCTTGCTGCCCGTCAAAGCAGTACCCATCCCTGCCGATGTCGGTGTAAGCTCCAAGGCAGCTCTACCACTGCTCCCACCCTGCAGCGCACCTGCAGGCGCCAAACCCCTGCACACCCTGGGGTGTGGTGGGAGTCACCGGCAACCAGACTGTCACGGCAGGGTTGAAAAGCCTTTTGGAGGATGTCCTAGACCTCCCTAGTGCCCCAGACAAAGGCGTCTGTCGTTCCAGCTAACTTTCAGTGCCGCTCCGTTACCCACGGGCCATCCCCAGGAGCGCCGGGAAAGCCTTAAACTCGGAGAACACGCGACCGCTCCAGAAAAAAAAGAGAACAGGCACAAAGTTTCTTTAGGGGGAACCCCGCGGATCTGGGGGGCGAGGCAGCGGCTGCAGGAGTACGGGCAGCCGGGAGGCTGCGACACGGCGACGTGGGGCCAGACCGCAGCCCCTGCGAGGCCCGGCCCTTACCAGCGGGGTGGTGGCCTGGACGTCCATGTAGAGCGGCCGCGGGGCGCCGCCTCCATCGCCGCTTCGCCCTGAGGGGAGGAAGAACGAGCTGCTGTCAGGCGCCTGCGGGAGCGACGCCGCCGCGGGGCGCCGGCCGGGCCGAGCCTCGGGCTGCGCCACCGCCCCCCGACCCCGACAGCGGCTCCGCCCCCACCGCGGCCTTACCCGGCGCCTGTCGCGACACCGGCCCCGGCCCCGGCCCCGGCCCGGCCGCCGAGAGCCGCCGGGAGGCGGGGGGAGCCCGCAGGGCTGCGAGGCGCCGCCAGAGCAGCATGGCCGCAGCACCGGGCGTGGCGGCCGCCCGCCCCTTCCGGCCGCGGCGCGGCGCGCGCCGGAAGCGGAGGCCGGAGCGGGCGGCGGCGGAGGGAGCGGCGGGGACGGGGCGAGCGAGGTGCGGGCGGGCCCGGGGGGGGGGGGGGGGGGCGGCCGCGGGGCGAAGCGGGTCCCGGGCGGGAGGCGGAGCCGGCGGCGGCGCGGGCCTCGGGCGGGAGGGCGGTGGGAGCCCGGAGGGCCCGGCCGGGCCCGGCGGCGGGGGCTTCGCCAGGCGACGTCGTGCGCTGCTCCCGTGGAGCTGCGAGCGGAGAGTGGGGTCCTGAAACGGCTCTCGGAGACACAGTGGCGCTCCCAGGGGCTCGCTGAGGGCGGAGCGGGGCCGTCGTCAGGGCCCTGGGACACCCTTCATGTCTCTTCCTACTTGACAGGCGAGAAAACAAGTCTGAAAGCCTGCAAAGCCTCCGGCACTACGCTGACGAGAAGCTCTGAAATGTGTGGGCCTGCTCTCCATCCCGGTTTGGTCATAGAAATGTGTTAGACAAAGCAGTAAATCCGTGTGGGGTTTTATGCTTTCTTTTCTAGATGCCTGTGACCGTGGGCCCATATGGGCAATCGCAGCCCAGCTGCTTTGACAGAGTGAAGATGGGTTTCATGATGGGCTTTGCAGTGGGCATGGCAGCAGGAGCGCTGTTTGGCACATTTTCCTGCCTCAGGTATGCCTACGAAATGACTTCCATGGACACGTCGTGACAGAGCCGTAGCCAGACAGAAGTGCTTCTGCTCTGGGGTTGGGAAGGGAGGTGCAGGTCTGGTTCTGTGCTGTCACATTGGTGAAACTTTGCCGGTGGCTCTGAATCAGCCACAGTTTGAGAGCCTGCTGTCAGCCCCAGCCTCACATGGGAACGTCTGGTGATGGCAGCGCATGGCCCCTGGGTCAGCCACGTGCGAGGGGGTCGCAGTTCTGCAGACCTTTTGCTGCTGCTCCTGAGGGAGGTTTGCACTGGGAAGCTGAGGCTGTGCAAGATCAGCTCCAGGAGGAGCTGGATGAATTGTCTATCCAGATACCTGTGCAGCCCTCTCCTCTATTTAAAGCTTCCTGAGCTATTCTGCAAGCTCTCGGGTATCGGCAGTGTTGCTTTGGGTGTCCCATCCGCCTGCATAGAGGCAATTACTGTATTGACCCAGAGTCTTAATTACAAGAGTGTAGGCAGAGCTGTGGCTGGCACTGTCACGATCCCCTTGTGAATCAGAGGGACAATATTCCACCTTCCCCTTGCATGCCAGCATGGAAACAAACAATGCCCGCTGTTCCAAGTTATCTCTTGTGATGCTTACTGACTGGTTTTGCCACACATCATCCATGAAGAGGAATTACTGAAATAAGCTCTTGTATATTTTGCACAACTCTTTCTGCTTGAGGTTTTTTAATCTGTAAACATGGGCAACGATTTGGTAGTGAAACTAAAAGGAGGAAAGGGGACAAAGCCTAACCTGATATGAGTTTAAAAAGTTTTCTGAACTCTTTCAGCTCATGGAGACTATTTTTAAGTGGTACAATGCTAGCAGAAAAAAAAAAAAAAAAAAGATTTAGGGTATTTAGAAGTAGTAACAGCAGTTCTGTCATACATGAATGACACAGCTACGTTACTTCTGCTATACCATTCTTGAGATAAAATCTCCCCATGTTTTAAAAACCAAGTGCATTAAATTCCTTAGACCCTACAGTTACTACAGTACTTAAAAGCCAACTATTACGAGAGCTTCCTTAGAAGGAACAGTTCTTTGGTTTCAGCCTGACTTCGAGTAAATGGGAACCGGAGAACAAATGTCTCTGAACACTTCTAAGCCTGTTAAGTTTCTCTTGTTAAAAATACAGTGTCACTGGTCAGTAGGAAGTTAGTTTACTGCATTCTTTTAAGTTGGTGCTGCTAAAAATACTGCCACTGCAGCCAGACATGATGCTAATACACCGCCTCAGGCCCTTTTTATTCTCTGTAAAATCAAATACTTGGGACAGCATAATTTTCTTTCTCCAAATTAAAGATATTTGGAGAACTAGCAGGTGAAGCTGTTACTGCTAGTGGTGTGGCAGGAGGGTACAGCATCAGCTGGTACTGCTGCAGGAAAACATTTGTGGGCCATGGCAAGGGACACTCATGTGCCCCAAAGAGAACAGTTCCAATTTCTTTTTTTTTTTACAGTAGCTCAGGCATGGGGCACCAAAGTCAGTCTCACTTTGGAGGCAGGAGATACCATTTTAAATTGAAACTGAAGAGGAGGTGTTTGATTTGGGCACTCAGGCAGCCATTAGCTGGATGTATCGGGTGTTTCCTGCTGCCTGTCTGTTACCTGCCAGGCTTCAGCTTTTATTTAATTACCTGTGTTTTTTCTTTATTTCAGGATTGGCATGAGAGGACGAGAGCTGATGGGTGGAGTTGGCAAAACGATGATGCAAAGTGGTGGGACGTTTGGGACATTCATGGCTATTGGTATGGGAATCCGCTGCTAACCTGGAGTTTGGGTTTTATCCCAGAGTGCCCCCATCCAGCCCTTCCCCCTGTGTACCTTAATAAAAGCTGTAGATACCTGAAAGCGAGAGCTCTTCATGAAAGGGTGAAGCACCATCCTCCCTGCTCTGTTGATTGTAAATATACATTTTACCAAATTTCTACTTTCTTCCCATGTCTTACACCCATGACAATGAGAACTAATAATCCTTTGTTCTACCTTAAAGTTCCTATTTGACAGGCCCAAGTACAGCACACATTTCTCCCTTTGGGACCTGGGCAACTCACATTCTTTCTGCGTTGATGCAGAGCTGCTCCACTGCATTTGTGTATTCCCAAGTCTAGGAGAGTTAGTCTGTGGCTGTCAAATCTCCTCCTGCAAAAATAGGTGGATTGAAGCTGGCCCTACTTCTCAGTTCCAGAGAAACTGGAGATACGGGGCAAACACCCTCATGGAGTAAGGGACCTCAGGATTTGGGCAAGTCCATCTGCAGTTGAGGGCAAACGACAGCAGCTCAGGCACTTTCAGCCAGCCTGGCAGCATGTGGGTGCAAGAAGCAGTCAGGGAACTGCACAGAACAGGTACAGCTATGCTGTTGGGCTGGAAATTGTTAAATTGATGGAAAATGAAAAACTCCTGCTGTCTAACAGGTAAAGGTACTTTGTGATGAGCCACAAGGATGACTTTGACACCAGACATGGGAAATGCAACCTCCTTGACAGGCCTTGAGTACTGCCTTTCCTAAAGCTCTCCCCTCAGCTGTTACTGACTAGTTACTAGCAAATTATTGTGTGAGCAGCACAGCTTTCCACAGCTCTGAGAGGGCAGTTTTACACCCTTGGTGAGGGGCAGTCTGCTGTACAGCCCTGCCAGAGAAGGGAAGGACAGAAGCAGTGCTTGTGGCTGCCTCCAGCAATAGGAACCTGCAGTGGCTTTTTTCATTCCCTTGGCAAGGTAAGGGGGCTCCAGGTGTAGGAACTATGCTACCAGGAACAGTCTTTTCCCAAGTGGGGCTAGAAGGTGCCAAATGCCTCCCAGGGAGAACAGGGGGTTACTCCCTGCCCTTCAGCAGCCTCAGTGGCACTGCCTGCAGCTGAACTATGGAATGTTTAGTTTAGTGTTGCAATTTCCTGGTATTTGCCTTTTGAAACAAGGTTTATCTTTCCTTCTCCTTTATTTCTGTTTAAAGCACCTGAACCAGCACCTATACAACTTTTTCCTAGTACAAGTGGAGTTTTCCCAGTTTTCAAGGGAGAAACAAACATGACACTAAAACCCTGCTGTCTGCTGTCACACAGCTCAGTAGCCTGAGAAACTGTGCCACTGACAAGCAAGTCAAGCAGCACAGCTGCTCTGGAACAGATCATGTTTTATTTAAACTGGCACTGGTGGATTAAAAATGGCAACTAAAAATATGTCAAGTAAAACTAGAGCAGCTTTGCTTGGCTTTCTTCAGCTGTGTCACATACCTCTAAGCCACCCTCCTGTAGTGTAATCCTGGCTCCTCCCCACCTTTGCCTTTGTACTACCCCCCAGCTCCCCTCCTGGATTGCCAACAGTAGATGCCACAGCTCAGGCACAGCTGCCTACACCCCAGAGGCTGGAGATGAGGTCACCACATTTTGTCTCGGAGCACTGGCACCATCTCTGCCTAGCCTATTTTCACCCACGTGGATAGAACACACTCTCTACCCCTTTGTCAAACAGCTTTTATGAGCCCGTGGTTACAAATGACAGGGAGGTGGGACAGGGCACCAAGAAGGCAGTCAACTTGGGCAGGCTTCCCTACAGAAACCAGACTGGCAGACAACATAAAGTACTCCTACACCCCCCAGTTCACAGACATTTGTGAAAGATGGGGGTAGAAATGGGCAGGGGGGAAGTTACCTCTAAAATGAATCCGCAGCAGGCCTGAGAAAGAGACACCACTGAGAAAGCGCCATCCACGTGGGCACTGAGAAAACCCACAGGTCCTTAACAACCACAACTGCAGTACACACAGGGTTCACAGCAGCAAGAACCAGCTCCTGCATTTTTTCCTGGAGGAGTGGTATTCCAAACATCTACCATTTCAAAGCACACCCATCATTCACTTCCAGTCTTCAGCACACACTTGTTAAAAGTCACATGAGAGCAGAGAAATAAAGCTTCATGAAGGCCTTTTTAAGAGAATTTTATTTGAGTGGTTCTTACAAAGATTGTTGCAATATGAAAGTCTTTGATAGAAATATCAAGCTGTCTTGTCAAACACACTGAAGTAACCCAAAAATATATTTCAGAGCTCACAGAGCTTAAAAAGAGCAAAGATTATACGCAACCAGAACAAAACATGTTTCTGTATTTCCTACCAATTTTCAGACTTGGCTGAGATCCTTCAACTGTGCCACACTGCATACATAGAAACTTACGTGGAAATGCAGAGATGGTTTTGTTTGGAAACTTACACACACCTCACACAGTATTTACAAAGAAACTTTTACAGATACATTACTCAAAAGTTACCATCAAGAAATAAAACCCTTCAATCCTTCTATTCTTACCAGCTATTCAGCACAAAGCAAGCTGAGTGGCTGTCTAGAGTCAGCTTTCAGTAGCCTTTTGAATTTTCCATTTATACAAAACACTAAATATGCCCCTTCATAAAGTCTATCTCCGGTATTAACCTTTAGCAGATCACCTACATTTAGTGAAATGTAAAATGTAATTGCTGCGTTAAAAGAAAGGCTTGTGAAACATTAAAAATGTCATCATGTTTCATCTGCCTTTTACAGAGAACTTGTTTTCTATGAGCTACTTCTCAGTTCCTACAGATCACCTTAGTAAATGTACAAGAATTACAAGGCAGAACAAGAAGTCAACAGCTTTGTATACAGTGGAAATGCTAGTTAGGGAGAATGAACACACTGCATTTCTGCTTACTTCATTTTATTTTTAAAGGTAGCAGGAAGTGTACACAAAGTGACATTAAATCCTTTCCTTTAGTTTTATCTAAATAAAAGATAACTCAATCTTCCTCCAAAAAATAACTATGTACAAAACTGACTAAATCCATCTTCATCGTCGAACAGGAACCAGTAGTTGGGTTGCAGTCATAGAATCTGGAAAAAGGCTATGATATGTTGGAAGAGGTACATATGCTGCTGTAATCATTTTACCTAATCAGAAGATTTAAAAATAAATAAAATCAGTATTCGGTCATTTCTGTAATTAGTGACTAAATGTAAGTCTACACAAAATCCACTCACCTGCAAACCACCTCCCATGCAATGCATTTACAGCTGCAATGGCAGCAGCAATGGAAGGACATTTGACATACACATTGCCCTGTAATACAAGAGTGTTACAGTCCATTAGAAGCTTGAGAAACTTCCCACATCACCTATTTTCAAGACACTTCCTTGGCATGGCTGTGACTCAAACCTGCCTATGTTCCTACTGGTATTAACCAATAATGCAGAACAAGCATGAGCAAACGTAGTATGACAGTTTTTATACTGACATGAATTATCATACTGTAACAGTTATCCTGGCATGAAACTTTTCTAAATAGGATTTGCAAAACAGACCAAACGTGAGGTTGGTTTGAAATCAACAAGTAACCGATTGCTTACTTGCTCATAACCACCCTGCAAGGAGAGTATCTATTGGCTCCTCATTACCAATCTCATGCAAAACAGAAAAGTACAGGAAGTTTGGCTACCTCTCCTGCAGGCTAGCCATAAAGTTCTGCAAACCCCCAACTTAAACCACAAATGCTTAACTAGATATGCAAGTTCAGTCTTGTTTTCAAAGGGGTTAAGTACTCCCCATTCTCCTGGGCAGGAGGGATGTCCAGCATTTCAAGCAAGACTGGTACTGTAAAAATTACCCTACATGAACTTCAGCATCTGTCTGTCTTTATTGAACAAAGGGAGACAAAGGGAAAACACCCCATCACAGCAGGACAAGAAGAGCCGTATCTAATGTGAATTAGACTGACCTTTTAACTTTGCCAGATACCTGAAGTTTTCTATCTGCAAATTAAGAGTACTGCAATATTCACATTCAACAACTGCAAGACATACAGACACCCACAGTAAGGTGCATGCATTGTTCTGGCTGCCTACTTAAAAACAGAATACCACCAGTAATTCTTGAACCAGATCAGATTCTAGCTGAATCAAATTTTACAGGGAAAAAAATATATTAAGAAACAGAACCCAGCCTTCCCTTTAGCAGACTTTGCCAGCCTGTAGTAGTTCTTCCCACTGTGATCTAAGTCATTCCTTCTCAGGGAGGGGGAGGAACTTGAGATCAGGGGCTGATGCTTAAGATACTAAGTAATTAACACACACAGTTCTGTTCTCAGCCTCCCCCTGCATAGGCATCCAAGCTGCTTAAACCATGAAATGAGATACAGAAACATAAAGCTTTAGTTTTCCTTAACACACCACAGTGTAGACTGGTGTGATACATTAGACCACATGTTCAGTTGAGACTGCAATCTTTTCACCCACAACAAATCACATCTTCACGGCTGGTTACTGACAGCCCTTAGTGTGGGAAGTCTGGCTGTCTGGGAAAGAACCCTAAAAAGAGGGGAAATGACAACACTTAAAAGATAACGTGACCAGAATCTAAGCCTGGAAAACGGAATAGCACAGTGGAAACTTATGTTCAAATACAGTATTTTTAAGTATCAGGGAGTATTTTGTATCTGGGTCATTGCTGTGCTACTGTGACAAAATTGATTTCACATGACAAACAGCTAACTCATGATATAGTAGCTGTAGTTTTTTCTTTTAAATCCACTTGCTAATGTGAACCAGATTTGCAGCTCTATGTGCTCAGAACTTATGTGAGGTGTATGTTGTGGGCTGCTGTGTTTTTGGGAAGGGTGGTGTTCTAGTAGTTTGTGTTATTTTTTGTTGTTGGGGTTTGTGTTTTGTTTGTTTTTTTTTTTTTTTTTTTTTCCCCCCATGTGGATACTGTTTCCTCTAAAACAGTAACACACTAATATACTGTAGAAAAGGCTTCTACCTCCCATCAGCCCAGCAGTCCAACACAGCAGTGACCTTAAAGATTAAAAAATACCAGAAAAGAGCATGTTGTTTTATGTATTAGACTGCAGTTCATCTCCAATCTAACATCTCAGTAAACCCTGTGAAAGGGTGACAAGACTCTTGTGTAGAAGCAGCACAATAACAACAAAGGTTTGTGACTGCTAAATGCATTACCAGGGCAGAATAATCCCATGTAAACAATACTGACAGTGGCAATAGTGTAGATTTCAGCCTCGCACAACAACATAACGAACAGGCCACTTCCAGGGTCTGGTGGTTAGAAATTAATCTGACTATGAGAGCATCTGAAAACTGTACTTCAGTTTACGCTGTGAATTCTATGCAAAACACGTTCAAGAATGCCAGATCTTTTTACAGACCTTCCACACTAAGAGCTGAAATACGGGGGAAGAGGCAACCAGTCTGGGGATTGTGTAAACAAAGTGAATACAGAAGAAAAATGTATTAGCCGTTTTAAGATGCAGGCTGAGGGTCCCTCAGACAGGCATTATTAACCTGTAATTAAGCCTGTATCAGTAGCCCTTTTTCTTCTCCTTCCTGTTATAAATCCAGGTGCTCCTACTGTCCACTAAAAGACTTCAGCATTACCAGTGAACACAACTGTTTCCAAGCATGCAATTAGGCACACATTTACCTGCACATCTCAAATCTGCTGGAGCGGGGTGTCCTTTGTGCTAAAGCCTGTACTCTCTAGAAACAGAAGAAACTGCCAGTCTCCAGCTTTTGGGAAATGCATAGCTTAAAGGAAAAGCCAAATGCCAGAACTGAAGAGGTCACTACTCTTCAGCCTGTATTTCCACAGGAACTTCAGCCATATAAATCTGTAAGAGCGGACTGCAGCACCAGAAAACTGCTCTCATACCTGTGTTCAAGTTACACACAATGACTTGAAACAGGAGGGAACCACCTACATTCTGCAGAAACTGTGAAGTAACTTCAAGAAATTTAGATTTGGTTTGGGAAAAAAGCCAGTAGTATTCGTAATGCTCCCTCTATACACTATAAAAGAACAAAACTCCTAAAACTTGCTCTGTGTCTTCTTGGAACCAGGCATACCTGAGCTGAGTTTTTGTCTACATAGATGTGGATAACTCCTCCATGTTTGTTACATTCCTCAATCACATCATCCTTAATTTCTGTATCCCAGCCAGCTTCTTCTTCACTGTAGGGAGGGGAAGAACAGGACAGAAATGGAATCGTTATCACTTAAGACAAAATCGATCCTGAAACCCATCAAAAAAACTTCTGCAACACTGATTCCTTTTCCCAGATGTTAAACTCAATAAATGCCAAACAGAAACAGCCAAAGATAAATCACTTACGTCTGAGGATTAAACATGTTGGAAAGCTGGAAGCACTGTGTTGCAAGTGGTTGTACAGAAGCAGCTGCAGCCAGAACTGTTGTAATAGAAAAAAGCAGTAACAAAGCTAAGAACCCACTATGCATTGCTCCAATTTAAGTTAGTATCTTCTATATATTCTTTAAAATCCCCATATTCAGCATTAAGAGCAACAGTTCTAACTAAACAAAAACTTGAAGGCAGGAAAGCAAAACTTGTGATTACACACCATCTATTATAGATAAAATTTAAATTGATTGATAGAGAAAATTGCACAGGTGAACTACAGCTGAAGCTGAAAAGTAAAAAGATAACCCCATACATTGGTTTTGGCAGATTGACTATCCAAACATTTAAATGCAGATACATACATCTTCACATGCATCTAAAAATTCTGCCCCAGTTGTATGCCAGCAGCACCTTTTAATTTTTTTCTCCTCATGGAAGCCAAGCAGCAGCATAGGATGGAGCGGCACCACCCCATCTGACTTCACAGGAAGTGACAAAAATCTATTTTAAGCATGTTGAATTATCTTTCAAAAATGCGTATCTGTACTTTTGTCTCTTGGAAACACGTAACATAAGAAATAACTGACAACTGAAATTATAAACGTTTTAACTGTAGAATAGACTTAGACTCATTCCCAGTAACTATGAAATCATCACTTGCCATTTATTTTTGCTCATCATCACAGTACACCTTATTAAAGATAAGCACTGTCATATAGGCTGCAAGCTTCTGTTAGTTTAACTGAAATAACAGCGACATTCTCTCTACATGCACAGACATTAAGGGTTATGCAGTCAGAGTAAGACAATGACTAAACTCAGCGGCAATAACCCCGAACTCCTGATTCTCAAATGACGACTCTAGTCCCTACCTCTAAGGCAGGAAAAAACCCCACACCCAACTGCACCTGAACCCACAAACACACACAAGCTTACACGTTTTCTAGGACTAACATATGGCAGGACAATGTTACCAGCACTGAGAAAATGCTACAAAGAAAAGGCGAAGTGTTTAACATATATTCTGTTAATTTTCAGTCTATAATCAATACACAGTATGATTCCTACAGATAATAATACGATTTCCTTTCTCAGGCTGTTGTCAAACCCTACACCAGATGCATTTCACTTATAGATATTTGCAACAAAACCTGCTGGTGACAAGTTATATCAAATGCAAGTTTACCTTCATTCTGCTGAGATAGTCTCGTTTGCAAATCTAAAAAAAAATATACGAAGTTAATTAGTATGCTTGTCAACATTACTGTAACATTACCTGCCAGCCAGGCTGTTTAGCTTGTATATTTGTGGTTAAGAGCTTGTTCAAGTACCTCAACCCACTCTCACTGTTCCTCTCTAGTTGTGAGTAGTTACACTAATTTCAGCTTCTCAGCTGGAATATTCTGTACTTGATAGAGATTCCACAAAGGTAAGCATATTTCAAAGAGAAACAATACCTTAAAAGGAAAGACATGACCATGTCCTTAAATTCACTGCATCATTTCCACTTTGCCTTTGCTGTGCTTGAACTCTTTGTGAGACATTATTTTGTTCCATGAGAAAATAATTACAGCAATTCTTACAGGCATTAGAAGTTTGACACCTTTACTAACAGAAAGCAGTGTTATCCAAATGTGACATTCTGAAAGCAGTTATCCAATTTAATTTCAAGTAGAATAAGGTGATTTCACCTATTCTCTTTTTGTGTCAGAATGACAAAAGTCACTTTGCTATTTTTCCAAATTCAAAACATTTTCAAACGTTCAGAACATTTTCCAAGAAAACACTCATTACTTGTTTAATAACATATAGTTGTCCCAATCTGAAGTAACAGGAACATACAAATGCAGACTTTCTAACCATTTCCAAGTATATGACTCCAATACTTGACATCTTTAAACCAACATCAGAATGCAAGAAACATAAGCATAAGCCTTTCACGTTTGAATTTAAGTCACACAAACACAAGGAGTTAGAATAAAGTTAACAGTCATCTTAAATCATTTGTTTAGACAGCAGTGAAGCAATGGATCCCAAGTTAGCCTGGAAGCTTGAAGATACCAGGTATCAAACATACTTTTTCCCCTTCTAATAACCTCTCCTCCACAACACGGGGGGACCAACAGGAATGAATTTTTTTTCTCTAAGTATTCAGCAGTGAGAGCCCTGAAGAAAGTCTTCAAGTGCTTTCAAGTGACTTCTGTAGGCAAACACATACTGGGAACTGTAGTGAAAAATAAAAGATTGCAGGAGCAAGCTCTGAAGGCTGAGCTATAACAAGAATTGGCTATATTAGCATGTCTTCCATCTGGATCTGAATACAAAGAAATCATCAGCTCCATAGAGTGAGAAATACCATTAGCAGGGAAGGACTGTCTTAGCCTGTATTCCCTGCAGAAACTTGCACAGATTTGGCCAAATCTATAACTAATTACTACACAGGTTTTTTGTAAATAAATGTGTTAAAAAAAAAAGTAAACCTCCAAATCTCCTAAATCTCTCCAGGGACAGAGACAGACGCTTCTCCCTCTGCAATTCTGACACAACTGCACATATACATCATGTACAGCTGAATTCACCAAGTTATCATTCAGCCTGAGGCTCTACAGCCAAATGCTCCAGGTCACCTCCGTCAAATGTGCAAATCTACACAAATCACCAGTTCAAATTCTCTCTAGGGCCAAGAGTCAACTCTGTTTTAAACACAGAAGATCAACTCACAGTATCTTGTGACAACAAGTTTCATACGTTAATTACCTAACGCCTCTGAAACACGACCCCCATCCACCAAATCCTGCATGAACTAACTGAATTTTCCTGGTGCTCATGAGCAAAGAATCGTCCTCTCCTCTCACTTCTAAATTCACTGAGAATTTAGGAATTCACTGTCAGTCTTCCCTGTCAACTCTTATTCTTCCCTACATGCAGTTTTAAATAATATGTGAAAACAATTAATACATTTGTCAAGTTACGATCAAAGTAACTTTTTCACTACGTTCTCTACATACAACCTACAAGAGTAGCGGGTTTAACATGGTTAAGTAGTATATGCTTAGTACAGAGAAAGCAGAAATACAGAAATATCTATCAAAGCATTTTTTATCTTAAGACAAAACGAAGTTGCATATTTATTCTGAAACGTAGCTAGCTTGAATTAAACAAAAGCCTGTCAAGTACTCCCCAGTTTTCTAAGTAATTATTTACAACAGAAGAACAGAAGATCAAATAGAAGTACTGAATGATAACACCTATTCATCCCTCTGCAGCACATTATCTCAATCTTTTTCATGAATGTATAGTTCCTTCCCAAAAGTAAGGGATGTTTTGTCCCACAAAGCATTAGAAGTATGTTCTATAGCCTCATGGTTATTTTAAGTTTTGGATTTCCAGATGGAATTTACTGGAGAACAGAAAAGTACACAGCTGCAACTGCTTAGATTCAATTTTTTCCTGCTTGAATTTTCTGCATGAGAATAGCATCCAAGTTCTCAGGCCTTCCATAAAACAAATTCTTTAGCTTCTCTATTTTAGTTTGATTCAAACCATCTTTAACATGGGTGACCAGAACTCTTCATAAATGTGTTACATCTCATGCTCAGATATGCTACTTCTAGGAACACAGCTGCCCTTTCAAAAATGCATCATGCTGACAGTTCATATTCACTCACTGATGAAGTAGAGTATTTAAGTATTTTCCTCCTCCTTGCCTATCTTTCACTGCTAAACTCCCAGGCTATATAACTAGAATTTGTTTCAATCGTGAACAGGTGAACTACGTACAACACCCCAAGAATCCCTTATTGACAGCACCTCTGTATTTACTCGCCTTACTCCTACTCTTGTTGACTAATGTTATTTGTGTAAATATTAAACAAGATCAGCTCAACACCTGAACTTTGGCTTCAACAACGGCCTCTAACCTTCCCTGCTTTCACCTGAAAAAAATTCCTCGTCCTGAGCCAGCTTCTTTACACATCTTGTACTTCTGTACTTATCCATTTCACAAGTCAAAAGTTCAGAGAGAAGAGTTCTACTATTGCTCCTCTATCTAAGAAAGTTAGTTTTATCAAAGATTGTTCATCTTTAAATGTAGTTTCTCTGAAAGTGTGTTACATTTTAACTTCTCCAGTTTACCCATCTTTAGTACAACTTCTGAAGGAGCCAAGTGAAGTCAGAGTAACAGGACTGGAAACCATCCAGATCTTCCTTCAAGTGCATGTAATTTAGAATTAGATGTTCCAGCTATATATACTGTACCACAGACTTAAAATATTTAGTACCTATTTTCTTTTTTGAAATCCATAGTCCTATCTTACCGTCCCCAAATTAAAGATTTGGACCGCTGTCCCCACTACAAACGGAGGCAATGAGATTATTTTGAAACATCTTTGGGGTAATTTTGCATTCAACCTCAGCCCCACTTCCTTATTTCCTCTTCAAGAGCTGGTAAATCTTCATCTATGTTTTGTCTTACAAGTTCTAATTCAATCTGACTGTTGTCAAGTTAATTCTCATTTTATCTATTTTCCAAATTGAAAATACTGTTTTGTTATCAGTCCTTTTTCCTATTCATCATAGGGTCTGTGCTTATCTTCTATTTCTTTTGAGGTAGTTAATCACCTAGGTCAGTGTGGAGCCCATTTCTAAACAGGACTGTTTCTTCTTTCTGCAGAATACAGATCCAATATAGCATCAGCAATGTGGAGCTGAAGAAACTTGCATCCTGCCTGTTCAAAGACCCAAGCTGCTTAGAACAGATGACGATTGCCTTGTTTCTTCAATCACTGCTTTTGAAATCAGAAGCCTTGGTTTCAGACCTGTTTTGTTTATCCTTCCACTTAAACTTGAGCAACTAAAAGATCCCTCAAGTCAATGGACATTTCTATTCTCACCCATAATGTCTTCATTACTTACCAAATTGAGTTTAAAATAGCATCCCCTCTTCATGAGTCAATGAGTGTTTGATGAAGAAATTTGTCGGATATCACATCCAGGAATATCTGGGCCCCACCATTATTACTAGCAATTCTTCTCCAATCTGTATCAGGGAAGTTAAAGTCTCCCATAATGACATAATTCCCGGTAGTAATTTTCTCTAACAAGAGTAAAGAGATCTTTAATCCATAACCAAATCTCACTCTGGGGATAGCTCATGACTCTACAGTAGTAAAGAGCTTTATCTTTTTCCAAAGTTACTTAAATTGCATATGTCTGCATTATTCCTTTTGTACAATACAAGTGGAATAAACAATGCTACTCCTACCACTTTTATTTCTACGGTTATTAAACATGCACATTCTTCAAAAACCTGTATTCAGCCTTATCATTTATTTCTCCACAGCCATGTTGTCTCACACTGAGTCCATGCTATCCTAACAGTTCAGCTGTCAGACATTTCTGGCCATGTTTCTGATGTGGGGAGTTTGACTTGTTTCAAATACGGGGTGGGGAAAAAACTGGTATTTAGAAACAAATATTTCTCTCATTTCTCTTTGACTACACCTGTTTCCAAGCACAACTGTCACACCGCTATCACCTACATTAAACATGACCTAATTTAAATGTCATTTACCTTTGCTTCTCTTTCTGGACTAGATACGCTTTTGATACGCTTTTTCCTTCCCACTGTATCTTTTTCATCATCATCATCTCAAATAAGAAAAAAACCCTATTCCTCAATTCACATTTTTCTTTCACTAGCCAGTTCCTTTTCCTTCCAGGGGTGTATCTATAGAGACATCCTATTATATTCTTTTAGCAATTGTCTATAGTTTCACACGTATGCTCTTCTCAAAACTGAACTTCAGTAGCATGATTCAGGTGTATCTCAAGTCTGAATCACCTCAGTCACAAAGCCTGCTGGAAGACAAACCAATCAAGGCCACCTATTCTTTGCTGATTTCCTGACATTTCTCACACATTCCAGCATCTAGTTATTTGTGACATTCAAGGCTTTTCTACCACTGTGACAATTTCATGCCCTTTGTTTTTGTAGTAATAGAAAAATAAAAAGAAAAAATACCACTCTGTAAATTCCTCATCTGCTGCAGGGAGTTAGTCATTGCTCTATTTCTGAAGCTCTCTTGAACAGTTTGTTGCTTAGGCCAGCTACAAACTAGCAGCAGCAATATATCCTCAGCCTCATTTGCTCTCACAACAACATAAAGTCTCAGTAACACTTCAACATACACACTTGCTGAACACATGAACTACAGCCAATTCCAAGCAACACACAAGTTGCCTGACATAGTGTCCTTCCTCACGAGGACATACACTGTATCAACCTAATGCTACTGTAGTCTTGGTTGCCATGTTCCCCATAAAGTCCTAATAACCTTCTTGGCCCAGGCACAGTTCTGATTTTTCAGAAATGTCAATCCACTTTCAATTATGAGATTGCTCTTTTTAACAGTCAACATTTACACAGCATTAGAACATAGATGTCCCCATTAGCACAAGGAATAGTAAAAGTGAAGAGATGAAGGCCTGGGATGAATTAGGTGAACTACAACAGATTTGCCAAAAATAATGCAAAGTGAATCACACCCATCAAAGCTGTCATAGACTGTCATTGTTTATTTGCTCATGGATTTGCAGCGTTTTGCAGTTTGTAAAACATGCTGTAATGCTTATGTTCTCATTTTAAAAGATCACAAAAATGTAGTTAAGTACCTCTTGTCTCAAAATTATAAAGCATAAAAGTACTTTTGAAAAATAAGTATGTTGTCATTTCTTACCTGCCACAGCTCCAAATGCCAAAGATCCACTCATCTGCAGAGCCTGCTGTGCAGCTGGGGGAATCTGCAAACCAGTACCTGGAACAGGATATGAATGTACCTTGTAGCAAGCCCTTTTCACTCAGTTGGCTATGCAGTAACATTTTCACGCATTTCCTGTTAATCACTACACATACCTTCTGCAAGTCTTGCCATCAACTGAAGGCGACCAGTTGTTCCCAAGTCAATTCCAGTCCGTTCCAACTCATCGCTGTCCAAAAACGAACTAGCACTGGAGGCATCAGTGCGCTCAGTTACATGTCCAACCTTCATTGGCCTACCAGCCAGCTCAAATCCATTGAGTTGTTCCAAGGCCTTTTTGGCACACTCAGAGTCTGAGAACTATAGATGGGAAAAATATGAATTCAGTAATACTGCCTACAGGATTCAGCAACACTTCTACTCTATGTAATATCCACAGTTACATAAACATGAGAAACACTAAATTTAAGATAACAATAGCTACAAGCTAACTTACACGCACTCCGTATTTTCCATTTAAACTGAACACACAAGATTGGATATTTACTCCCTCATATTTAGAAAAGAATGTATTTAAGTATAAATTACAGTTGAAGATAGAGCATCTAGATATTGCAATGACAAGACACTGCTCCAGTTCTCTTCCAACGCTTTTCAAGAATGACAATCACTGCCTTTGTAACTTTGTAACTGCCATGCATTTACTGGCTATTCCCAACAGGCATTCTGCTTAGATCAAACTGAATATACGAATATTCTGTCAATGTTAAAAACATCAAATATTAGCTATATAGTTAACCTGGTTTCATTTGCCTCCAAGAGCCAGAGATCCCAGCTGAGACTTTTCCCCCCTCCATGACAAATTACCAGGTCAATCAAGAAACCCAAGTTCACAAAATAATGTGTCCAAGGGTAAAGAAGAAAGACGTTTTCAAGTGAAAGTTTTAGCTTCTAAAAATGTTATTTTTCCTAAAAAATCTCAAATACAATAGTTTTCACAGCACTGTAAAAATGCCATTTTTCACTAGCACCTTTGCCTGCAGAAGACAGCATTGCTTCACCAGCCACTGACCATAAAGTGTACTATTTTAAACGTGTGTGTTGCTCAACCACCATACCCACAGAGAACTGGCACAAAGAAAAAGGCCATTGTTGCATGTCCTGAAACATGACATTTCTAAGATGAAGCTTTACAGAGACTGCCGAGTAAGCAATACTACTACATGGGAAGGTTACACTCAGCAATCATCTAAGAAGTCTGGCAACTCTAGGCATACCGTAATAAATCCATATCCTTTTGAGCGTCCAGTTTCACTATCCATCATCAGCTGAATGCTTTCAATCTAAAAATAAGAACAAAACTATTTATTATCAGACATTTTGGAACAAACCGCAAGATCGCAAAACAAAACCTCAATACAACCCTGACAAGTATACATATAGGAATCTTTTCAAAATCAGTTACTCATTCCTTCAAGTCAAAATTAGTGTACAGGCAGCCAGACATGTACTTTGATACTAAACCATAAGCAGGTAAACATAAGGGTGATGTAAAATTTATCCTTTAAGTTTAGTTCAGATAAAAGGGAGAGGCTTGGTCCTGATGCAACATTCTAGGAGACAATGAGCATGCAGACATCATCAAATCTTAACTGAAACATTACAGGCATGGCATCTCATATGCTGAGAAACTCCAATTTACATGGTAAGAAAGGCAAGTTTGCATGACCGTCCAGCGGCTTTAAGAAAAAGGTACGTATTTTAAGTAATTCTTGGGATATGGGAACTCCTAGAAGTTTACAGTTACTGAATTTAGAACATAAAATAGGTCATCCATGAGCCATAAAACAGTGTTGGGAAGAAAGAGCAACACAGAAGTAAGAGAAAGAATTGAGTTTAAGGCTTGAGTATATAAAATCAGGAGAATGCAAAGCCTTCACAGCTCTACACGTAAGCCTCCTAAACTACATTAATCCTACTGCCAGACCTTAAGAGAAAAAAATTAAGAACAGCTATGTGGATTATAATTTAATAAATCACTGCAATTTTCCAGGCTTTTGCTTAACAGAATTAAAGGATACCCATACTGCATCTGAATAAAGCACCTGAAAAGCACTATTATGGTATGTATGAGGCAGGGTTAATACCCAAAGATAGTATGAAAAAACATCACTGGACTTTTTTTTCCCCATTAAGCAGCATATTGAGTATATTACTTTTGCCCTATCTAATTATGACATACCCTTGATACCTTAGTTAGGACAGTAGGGCTAATATTTATTAGGACTCCACTGGTAACTTCCGATTCAATCTGTTCACTTCCATAAGTCTACAAAAATACATTAACATGATTTGAACTGGAGCCCAATGATCAGGAGTGAAATTGGGCCTGTGGCAGAGCTGTGCAGGACACACCACTAGTTTGTGCAGGCACAGAAGAGTAAGAAAGAAACAAATGTTTTGCAGGTGTGAAGCTGAATTATTTCCAGCAGCTGTGAGTGCTCTACAACTAAGCTGTTTGTCAGATAAACTACCATAACACAATATGCAAAATTAAAATTTACCCTGCCAAATGGCTCAAAAATTCCTCGAAGCATATCTTCAGTTATATTGAAGTGTAATGATCCCACATAGAGCCTCATAGGACCAGCACTGCCCTTCTGCAAATTGTTTGCCATTGCTGCTGCTCTGTTTTTCTCTGCCTAAGGAAAAAAGACAAACTCAATTTCTGTAAGAATTTAATTAAAAACCCTAACATAAACCAGTATATAACTACCAGATTAAAACTAGCAGATTCACCAAAAAATACATGATGTTTTATAATCTGCATGCTATCCATCAGACTAACTTAAAATCTAAAAAACAATACAATGACCAAGTATAGACACACAAGCTTCCAGAAGCCCTCAAAATTCATCAACCTCATGCAGGATTGTGGCTTGTATCTAATAAATGAATGCTCTTTATATATGCTGGAAAGCATATATAATATATAGTACAGTTCTGTAACACCATTACAGTTTCGTTATTACTACTTTCTTAACATCTGTATTTTCAGAATGCATTTATATCACTTTGATTTGCTTTAATTTGCCTGTCCACTATGGAAAACATAGGTCCATCTATAATTAGCTTAAATAATCATTCTTAGTAAGGTTTTCCAAATGTTCAACGGTAACCACATTTTCAAACAGTAATTTTTTCAGCAAGGTAAGAGGCACTAAGCGTGAACAAAAATGAGATTTACAACTCCTTACCTGTGATGCTTGTACTATGATTGGTACACCCAAGACTCTCTGCCCAGTTAGTCCTATTGCCAGAGGCACCGAACTAACATCAACAAATTCTACATAAGCAATTCCCTTTGAGCGCCTAGAATTTCTATCTGAAATCATTCGCACATCACGAACCTGAAAGACAAGTACAGAAATGCTGTTAAAGGAAAAAAACTAATGCAGTCCATTTCTCAGAAAGGTATTAATAGCCAGACAATTATTTACCAAGCCAATGGCTTTGTAATTATGCTGCAAAGCTAGAGTACCACAAAACTATCTTAAACGTATCTCAGCTGCAGGCTAGCATTAAAAGCTGCCATTCAAAGTCAAATGTAGTATGCTACACGAACAGGGGCAACAGAATACTTGCAAAACTGCAATGTTTTAAGCCAGAACCCTAGAGCTGATGGGAAAGTTTTTCAAAACTAAAAGTTAAATGAATTTTTAAATTACACTGTAATGGGCAAACCTATCTGCAAAAGACTGAAATTTCTGAGAAGTTGTTTCAATCAGAATTGCAGTGCCATGTTTTGCATCACATCATATGCTGAACAATTAACTCCTGATAAATCATGTTTTCATGTTCAGGGCCTTTAAGAATTAGTGGTCATTCATACCCCCCCTTTCATCTCTATCAGAAGCTCCAAAAAGCCACTTGCTTACATTTTTGCAGAATATTAATACTCTACGAGGACTGCTTGAGGAAGTACTCACAATGATTTTAAACTCCCTAATAATTACCTTCCCTACTGTGGAGAAAAATTCTTCCAGGTCTCTTGGTCGAATTCTGGCAGCCAGCTGCATGCAGAATACTGTTCTAGCATCCCTCTCTTCAGGGGTAAGATTATCAATAGGTTCTCTGGAAAGAGGAAAGTTCACTTAAAAAATAGACCAAAATAAGGTAACTCATCTCTGGACCATGTGTGGAACTTAAAAATCAGTACTTCAAAGTCTGATGGGGAAAGAAACATCTGCCATATTAAAAAAGGTAGGGTCAAGAACTGAAGGGAACACCTAACAATAATATATCTACTACTTTAACATGACTAAACATCCTGTTTCAACTGTAATTATTAAACATGACTGTAAAATTGTATTTTAAGTACAGAAGCCCCACATAAACACGGGTGCCATTCTGCTACTGTCCAGAACAGGTAGTAATACCACTTTGGAGCTTGCAGTCAAAAAGATTAAAGGGCAGGAAAACAAGGGAAAATTAGATTAATTACCACAGACTAGCTGTCTGAACTCTCAGACAAGCAGTACAAACTTTTTTTTATTACTTTGCAAACTAAAATCTTACATCTGCCCAGTCACTTTGAGGTCACTAAAGCCGTTGTGTAAACAATACTGACATCTATACAAACAAAATTCTCAGACTTCATTTTATAGTTTTAGCTTGCTAAGCCATAAAGAAGTATGAAGAGTGAATAATTACTCTCATCTTTGACACCAGAAGCACTAGGTTAATTTTATTTCATTACTGATCACTAGCTGAAATTAGATGTACCTCTGGACAGAATTAGGATGCTGGAGCCTGGATTGAGTTTCCAGACATGTAGTAAGTATTTGTATTTATAAAAAAAAAATATTTAAAAAATATCACTGAGAACACACAAGAAAAAAAATTCAACTAAATTATCTCAGTAAGAGCATGCTAATAATTAAAAAAGAAAAACAAAACAGGATCGGTTACATTATTCTCTAAATTAATGCAGTTAAATCCCAGTAGCAGATATATAAATCCAATTCCCTTACATGAGAAGACTGAGAATGGATATGGACCTCCAGCATTTCAAAGGTACTTTGCTTCACTACAGATAACATCAATATATACTGAATAGAAAAAAGCACTTCAACAGTACTTTTCCATTCTGTATTTAAGATTATTAAGATTTAGCAGAAAAGCTAGCCAATTTAAATCACAATTAACAGGAGAAGTATTTGAGAATACAGAAACATAAAAAGCAAAGCGAGACATATTATGTAAACTGACATTATTTACAATTGTACACTGCCTTGGCAGGGAGGAGATATAGTTTAGGACATAAGAAGACAGTATCATATTTTCAGTGCTCTCCTGTTGTGGGCTTTCTGAATGAATTCCAGCATTACTTGTAAGAATAAGCTGGAGAGCAAGTAGTCATGCATGATTTCACCATTCCTCTTCCAACTTCAGTTGGAGAAAAAACAAAACAAATAAATGTGTGTAAACATTCCTACCTAACAGGGCTCTTGTCTTTTCTGAAGGGACTTTTGCTTCTGGAACGTCGTCTGCTATGAAGAGGGATCAAAAGATTATAAGAAAATGTTCAAATATAACAGTCTGGTTTTAATCAAAACCTATTAATGATGCAATAAAAAGTAGAGAAAACTCAGAAACCTTAATTTGATGCTGTGAGGCAGACCAATCTTCCCTCTGATGGCACTGTTGAATTTTGGTCCAGAACTATGGCAAAAGCAAAAACAGACACATTACTCAGAGTACCCAAATTCAAGATTTCATGTCTGCACTCACATTACATTGCAACTGCTCACCCACCCTTGCACATGAACATACAGACATTTCCCATTAGCAGCATTCACAGCATGCATAAGCTACATGCAACACTCCAAACCGTAAGGCACAGAGTATGTTCCCTGCTCAGTTTCACCTGCCTCACAAAATCCCAGATTATGCAGGACTCCAAGGGAAGACTGAATCATGAGCCAGCCAGACACGGAACATTTGTATGTGCAAAGCAGTCTGAACTACAGTTACTGTTGTAACATTTACATGTTTTTTTTTCCCACGTGAATATTCTACCTACTGATGACTGTAAAGCAGTACCCTAATTGCCTGGAAATCAGCCTCAGTTTTGGACAAACTGGTGCTGGCAGGACTGTGTGCTTAAGTATTTTAAAACTGAAAGTTTAATTAAATTTAAGGTGCAATTAGAAACCACAGTAGCTCCCTGCAGACCTCTGCCCCCTGCACGGGACACATTCACTGATGCTGTCTCAGCTCTAGCCATTAAAGTGCTATTAATATGTAAACGCAGCTTCCTTTAAGTAAAGTTCTTAATGGACATCAAAACACAGACCCATTTAAACCAGCAGTTAACCTTACATAGACGTGTCACCACACAAGGAATCCAATCTCTTGGCTGAATCTAATTTTAGTTCTGCAGGCTTCACAGAGACTATCAAAACAAATTACAATCTGCCCATTGCTTCCATGTTAACGGAAGTCCTATTACTAGTTATTGTGGCACAGGGTAACAGACTGTGACATGAACAGTAAGATGCATCCTATGTTTTCCCTGGACTTGATCTCCTTGTAGATACAAGACAAAGAACATCACCTGTTAACGTTCTTCCTGTATATCCAGGCATATGAATGGCAGAGACACTGCTGTACAGACTGAATGCCAAACCCTGTCTTTCCATCTGCACAGAATTGATTCTTTCTGTTGTGGCTATAAACTGATATGAAAACACCCTGAAATACACAGCAGTTTGAAGACATTAAGTAGTCTTTCACTAAATCCATTTGGCCAAACAATTTGTCTGATAAAAGTCTTCTTGCTACTCAGTGAAGCAGTAATGCTTATAGTTAAACACAGCATCCACAGCAAGGAAGAGGCTGCCTGTTTCTGAATATGTTATGACAGAGGTGGAAGTAGCGGGCCAAGAACAAAAACCATGCTGTTTAGGTTAAATCAAGGGAAATATAGCCCTGTGTAACACTGGGGGAGGGGGGGGAAGGAATAATAAAAAAAATACCATTTAGAAACTACTTAAGAGAAAATAACTACTTAAGAGAAAAATAAGACATTAAAAATAGGCACATGTTGAGATGTCACCACCAGAGATCAAAACCAGACAATTTTTCTAAGATAAATTACTCCACTTCCTACTCAAGTTCAGACAAACAACTGCTGAGAGCATTCATTCAGGTTCTCAAATGTCTGTGACACATACTGCCAAAAGCTGCATCTGGAAATGCTGGTACTAATTCCAGAGGCTGGCTTATCAGAGATGGGATTGCCTTGCATCTTCACACCTCCTGATGTAAAACATGGTCTTCTCCATTTCAATTCAAATTCAGCAAGACAAACCAATTACAGTGACTCCAGAATATTAACATGAAGACCAACTAAATGATGGTCAATAATCAAGTCCATGAGTTTTTAAGGAAACAGGGAAAGAAATGTTTTAAGTGTTTGTCTAAACCTAATGAAAAAAACCTAAGACACATAGCAACAGTTATCAAATACACATCAGGAAAAAAACACCACAAACAACAGCAACAAAAAACCAACCAACCACCCACAACTCCAAAAATGTCTTTTCCATTTTCACTCTTGACAAGTAAATAGTATCTTATTTATACAACTACATGGAAGAAATAGTTAAAAACCCCAAACTAAAGCCATAGTTTACTATGGAACAACCAAGCAGAAAGCTGCCTGGGGCAAGGTGATGGCCCAAGTTACCTTCTGAAGATCCTTTTTCAACAGTGTTCTGCGGGATGCATTTCTTTGGATTTTTCTAAGGAGATTTGCTTGTAAATCTGTAGCTCCCAAGGGAATTTTCTTCTTTCCTCCTACTGCCTAAGAACTCCTTGCAATCATTGCCCAGTTCCCACTATCCTGTATAGAAGCACTGAGTCACAAGCTATTTATGTCCAGGTGTTACCCCCTTCATCAGCCAAATGCACCAAGTGTTGTGTATAGCTGAAGCACAACTAAGTACATGTCATCCCAAACCTACATGATGCCACGTGGCCCAAGAACAAGTCAGGTCAGAAGACAGTCAATAAAGCATCTGCTTTCACCTGCTCAGTCATATGCAAGACTTGAACAAAAGAATCTCAGACAAAGCAAGCTTCAGCTAACAGTCCAGGAGAACCACAATGTATTTTCAGTCCTCATTTAATAGCCCTATTTTCCCAGCGGCTTTGCCTTAATCCTTGGGTTTCAGAATATCAACAGGACAGTCTAAGTGACTCATACTGTACGCTAGCAATACCTGGGATTTTTCAGATGCATGTCTAAGCAAGTAGTTCTTTCTCTAAGTGACTTAATGTATCTGCAGAACACTTAAGGGGTAATACAAGAATAACATTTAAAAACCTTCTGAACACTAACCAGTGCAAGCCAGTTACCTGATTTTTAAAAATTAAAACATTTAATCACTATCTCATGCTTAAAGATGACAAATTCAAAACCCTCAGGTGCTCTGTGTCACACTCCTCTCCTTCAGAATTACCTATACTAGACTTTCTCTTCTCACTGTTGCAGAGATGCTTCCACATCACCCCCAGCAGTAAAAATACCTTGGTTTAGAGATACTAGCTTGAAAAGGGGCTTTTTATAAAGCAAGTAAGATCACAATGAAGAGGAAGGATAAAAAAAAAATACAGCCACAAAGCATTTTGAACTCAATGTTTCAGTCACCTACAACACTGCCTGCAGTAACACCAACTCAGAACTGCCAGAACAACTCCACAAGGTGAGGTTCCAGATTCAAATTCCCCAGCCAATGAGCGCATTCTGGTAGCCACTTCTGAAACGCTGAGCTGGTGGCACTGCTACAGAGATGGTGTCTTCTTATGGAAGCACCATTTTTGGTAAATTCAAAGGGTACCTTGATCCAAAGGAGGCTGGTGATGCAGGAGGCTTTATCTCCAGAACTTTTGCCTCCCTGAAAGTCAGCATCTGTTATACAGCTTTTAAAGGTGTCTGCATTGAAGAATCCTGAACAAGAAATGAAGAGTTCTTCCCTCTCTTGTCTTCTAAGATCCTTCTTTCTCACACCTCCTAAGCCCAAACTACATTTTTGGAATCGCATTAGCGTATGTATCACTTCAAAAGCATCATCCATGACCTACAAGTGAATAACAGCCAACTGCTGACTATGCAACAGTCCGTACCAATACTGCTGGGATGCATGCAGTTGCCCTGTACCACTTTTCCACTGAGCTATTTTAGATGCTCAAACTCTACTTGGTTAAATGAAAGCAACAATTCAGCAACTGAAGCAGAGAACACAAAACTGCCAAGCCTCGTATTCTCAGGGGATACTAGATCATCTCACCTTTTTGTTCACTGCCTCTCGATACCAGAGAAGTCACCCAGAACAGTTATGGAAGAGTATCAGAACTATAAAAAAGACCTCTTGCAATCATTTACCTTCCTGGCACAACCTATCAATGCTTTAAAACAAGCATGAGTTATTGTAGTAACGTCCATACCTTCAACCTCTACATGAGGAAATTATTTTGGAAGACCGGAACACTGAAATTCCCACATTTTTCCAGGTAAAGAACCTTCACAACCAGTGATGACAGGAAAAACAAAGAGCAAAACCCTCCAACACAACTAGGAGAACACAGCAACTCCCAACCAAGTGAAAAGATGAAGGACATGCTCTCCATGCAACATGACACTGGAGGCAAGAAGAGTGGCAGACTTCACATGCAGAAGACTCATGATCTTGATCAATGTCTTCTGTTTATGAGGCAGTCTGGAGCCACAACGGTGGGCACTGGCACAACCTAACTAGGTACTGTAATCTTAGAGGTGCAAAACAGCTTTAGAAAACGTGCCAACTGTGCACAGCTGAAGCCCAGAGCAGCTTTAGGGAGTCTCTGACAGACTTGATACTTCAGACCAAGTAAAAGAAGGGCTGTTATACTCCATCATCCCCGAGTACACAGGACTGATGAAACCATTATGTCACTGCACCTTAGCAGAGCCAGGAGTTGCCGCATGTTTTCAATATGAAAATGCCAACACCCAGGTGACTTAGCACAAAATCGAGACCCTGAGACCTCAGGCATTTTTCATCTGTGTTCCAAGAGTACCAAAATTAATGAGTTCCCTGGATTGGGACCCAGCCACCTAGAAAAATATTTATGTGCACAAAACTGTACAAGCCTGCAATTTATCAGAGGTAAACACTGTCTTCTCAAACATCTGAGAGAGATTTCTCCAGCATGGATGATGTTACATGTCACGATTAAAAACAAAATACATCTTTTTCAAAAGCCTGCTTCTGACATGATCTTGTGTTCTGACAACAGTTGAGATGGAACACAGACAAAAGCAGGTAAAACAAGCAGCCTCAAGTAATCAATGAAAGCCAAGCATTTAGCCCAGTTCTCATTGTTTTTCTGCTTCTTTGAAGGCAGAAAGAGGTGATGGGGAGCAAAGGGGAGGGCAGGAATACAAAACAGCAGAACCACCGAATAAATACCGATGTAAAAATGATTATTGAGGAATGATTTACAGCTGTCAGAAACTAGCTATAGCAGAAGTTCTATCAAGTCAAATATCTGAGAGAACTGAAGAATTCTTCCACAGCATCTAAACAAGTTTGAGAAAAAGCAGGGCAAATATGCAACGAATGGACATTACTAAGACAAAAATAATTCCAGCTTGTATGACTAAACAGAGGAAGCGTTTATGTAGTAAGTGTTTAAGAGCAGTAATCCAGTAAAAATCTTTCATAATACAAAAGCAAAAGGTTTTATGAGCCTGTAACCAAATTCATAGACTACTATTCATTATCTGACAGCTAAACTACCAGATTCATATACTGAAGATAGTTAGGGACGAGTAAGAAACTTGTTCGTTATTTTAACTGTGTGATAAACTTTGTCTTCCAGTCAGTTGTACACATTCTTTCACTTGCTTTTACATTCTTCTGTGTTCAGATAAAAATAAAAACTAGTAGAAAGAACTGGATACATTACTGTCCTTTTTTTCTCTCCATGTTTATTGGCACTTTCCAACCTTAACCTTTTACCTTCTTGTTTGAGAAGATTAGTGACTGATTTAGAAAGCAGAGTGTGAAACTTCATGCTTCCACATCATACCCTGAAGCAGCACACATGCAACTCTGTATAAATAACCTACTAGGGACTTCTATAGCGGCCTCTGAATCTGCGATCTCTACTTCTCGAACGGCTGCGTCTGCGTTCTTTGCTTCTGCTCCTTTTCCTTTCCCGGCTTCTGCTCTTTTTCCTTTCCCGATCTCGGCTCCGTTTGCGTTCCTTACTTCTGCTCCTCTTCCTGTCATGGCTTCGACTTCGGCTCTTGCTCTTTTTTCTCCTGAGAGAGAGAAATACAACTTTGATTACACATATAGCTCAGTGTTGTAATTTACCTCACATTCCACAGTTCCTCTAACCTGACGTCCCACAAGTCTTAACACACTGCCTAGGAATTTTACTTCCTACTTGCTACTCCTACTCATAAGCTACTCGCTTTTCTAAGTCTGCTGCTCTTACAGGTCTGGAGAAACCTGCAGATATTCATAATTAAAGTAAATGGTTAAAAACCTTTATAATCTGTAAGTCAATTATACCTCATATTTGATGACCAGTGAGCCACTGCTTTATTCTTCTCAGATTACTTTTGGGTTATTTGCGTTTTTTGTTTTTTTTTTCCTCAGTCTTGACCCATAAAATAAACTTAAGTCTACTAGTTTTTAAAATATATACATATGTACATGTAAAATACACATTGAACAGATGCTCAAGACAGTAATTTAAGACTGTATTATTTAAGACAGTAATTCACCTCAAACTAATTTAGGAATAATCAACTTCACTGCTACACTTAAAATTCAAAACATCCTTCACTACTGAAGTTTTCCTCTCCTCCTTTTGGGCATTCTGATTACACACACCATCTTTCTTCAAAGTCATCACTCATACACTTAATGTTGTATGCCACCACCTGCCCACCCTTTCTAAAAAAGTTCAGCCCTGTTAGTTCATACATAGCCATAGAAGGTAAGACTTGCAGTTAGTTTCAATTACTAAAGTAAAAATCTATCAACTACCACATCTAACTGAGCCTAATCATCATTAGCAGCTTTTGTTTTCCAATCTCCACCTCAGACAACCCACTAAAACTATCTTAGTATTTACCTCTCAAGAGAAACATTTTGTGATTTTAAAAACTCGAATATTTCATTTTTAACTGATTATTTATTAACAACACCCCATCAGTTTCTCTAATATCTTTGTAGGGACAGAGACCCTGTTGCATCAAAAGCCGATACTCGGAAGCTTCACAAACTCTGATAAGATGATACCACCCAGAAATCCACAATGAGCTTCACATACCTCACCTAACCACACTTCCTACCGTAACGCACTTTGTGACAGGCACGCATAGTCTCTCTCCTAGGATCCATCACTTAACAGTATCTCCGTGAGTTAAAACTCTCAAACACTCACAATCGTAATAGCTCCAAAAAATGCTACCTGTGACCAGTACCAGTAACTAATAACTGCAACTGATCTTCAATAAAGATAGCACTTATTCACTACCCAACTGTCCGAAGACTCGTAACAGTTAAGATTCACATTCTGCCTTCCAATCATTATTAACCAGACATACAGTACAGACAAGTAGTAAAATTCCAGATTCTTAATCCTTCCAATTTCTAAAACAGAAACCTAGTACAATCTGACAATTATTGAAAGCTGCACACTAAACCTAACATTATTTCTTAGCTGCCTATGTTTACTGCAGATTATGGTTTTCCTGACAGTTTGAATCTTCTTTCAGTATTGTCCAACTGAGGTAGATCAAGAATATCCTCTAGATACTGACACTCCGAACAGTTTGATTGATAAGCAAAGTGAGAAGTCTTGTAAAGCCTATATACACCTCCATCTTCAGCAGATCACACTGTCACGAGTCACATACAAAACGATGCAGTTTTCTAAAGATTTAGGGGAACAACAGCTATATCAAATCAAAATTCTGTGACAAAAAGCTTCATATTATCACAGAACTGCAGTATGACTAACCTTCTAGAAATTGCTAACTCAAAAACTGAAATGGGCAGATACCACAGGAGCAACATTTCTAAACAGACACGAGGGTACAATTACGAAAGCAGAGGTGAAACTCCACACAACATAACACTGCAAGACTAACAGCAGCAAAACACCTTGTCTGTCTTCTATTTTACAATAATGTATTTTTTTCCAAAACTTAAGTTTACTGTTTTTCAGAATTAGAAATACTAACTCAGCGCATGCAGGTCCCTACCTGAAAATGGGACTGTGGACAGAAAGGTAACAAACATTATCACTGTGTTCTTGGAGAGGTTACAGCAACTAAGGAAATTAACTGAAATATATTATAGTATTTTCACCATTCTACCATAAACCAAGGTCAGAACCAAACCTAAAATTTAAAATCCACTGCTTTTCTTTCCAAGCCCGGTTTATATTTTGAGACTAGTCATTCAGAAAAAAGCAGGGCTTTATATGTCATGTATATATACTTTAAAGCAATAAAAATTCAGAACTTAAAAATACTAGGAACAGCTGCTTTTGACAGCATTTTAGGAGTCTCAGTATTTAGCACGAGAATGATATTCACAGTATTGTTTTAGAACACAGATAAAAGGTATAATCAATATTAGATTATTAGATTCCAAAATATGTCTGATGTTGGAACTGGACTTCCCATTTCCTGAATATTTATACAGCTGGGAAGAAGTGCTCTCTGGATCCTCAGCATCTCATCTATATGATTTCAAAAGATGACAACAGCATGCATGCTGACTTAAGTTAGCTGTATACTATAAAAACACAGTGGTTACTGTTTACTCAACTATCAGATTCATAATTATTCTTCCTACATCAACTAACAAGCATCATTTGGTGATAAAGGTAAGGAATCTATTTTACTTAATTAAAAACCTTCCACTTAAGAGACTCTCATGCAAGGCATTTTTCTTCAAGTTTCTGATTTGATTCCTGAGCGTTTGGGTCATCAGCAGATGTTCAGACCCTGGAATTATGCTTCCTGAAAAAGGTGGGCTTGTACTCTGGTTCTTTAAAAAGGTTACAGCATAGTTTTATAAAGTTTAGATTAGAACCAAAAAATGTAGAAATTTTTGAATCGAATGGTCAGTGGAGGAATACAGGAAGGGGAATCTTAACACCCTAAACCTTTTCAGGAAAGCACTGGTATCTTTTAATGCTTTGAACTGTTCCAAATTGCATAAAATTCTACACCAAATAAGATTTTTAACATTAAAAATCCATTACATTGCTAAAGCAACAAAAAATAAATTAAATATGCTGAACCTACCAACTCTATATCTCTATCTAATGCTAACATCAAATGTTTCCTCAACTTTTATGACACTCGTGACAAGGATGTAACTACATTCGTAAACAAAAAAATTTCCTAATTGCTGCAGTTGCAGCAATTGCAAATAGCAAGCTTTTCCATCTTACTTCCCTAAATACTGCTGATGCATTCACAAGTTTACAAAAATCAGCAGCCTCCTCCAAAGTGTAGAGAATTAAGAAACTACTTACTTCTTGCTGCGTTCTTCATGGCCATTGGCACTGCTCAATTTGTTCTCATCCTAAGCAGGGTTGATAGAAGAACATCGTGAGGACGAAGCGGAAACATTTCAAGTGGTCAAAGGGTAATGGGAATAGGAATAAGAAAATACAAAACAAAAATTTTAATACTAAATTACTTGTTAAGTTTAATGTGGAAAGCTTTAGAAAATTTAGGTAAGCATGTTTAACCACTTTGCTGCTTAAATTTAAATCATACAATTACAAAATACAAGACTTACATCATTTAAAAGTATATATTAAATTGTAGATACCTCCTTACATGGTTTAGAGAGCAAGTTATCCTGTAGAATTCAGCACTCAAGTGGTTAAATGTTATTTCTATAAAATGTAAGAGGAAGTTTCATGTTTGTGTTTGTGTGCCCCTCTGATCAGTACCAAGGCTATATCTCTGCCTAAGCCCCAGTGGCTATGCTAGCAGCCAGCCACTATGGATTTCCTGTGACCGATGCCATTCCCGAGATCTTCACTCATTTTCGTTGGAGGGTTGTAAGAGCTTGATGTCACCTCTGTCACACATCTCGCCCTGAAGCAAACAGGGATTCACACTGCTTTAGTAACGTCGACTCCCAAGAAAGTCATCAATAATCCACCAGTCCAGCCTAAACATTCCCTATTTCCATACCTGTTTACATGGAAAATATCCATGTTAAACCAGGACACAAGAATTTTAACATAACAATTTACAAATTTCTCTTCAAGATTTTAACGTAACTGCTACATATTACATAAACTAAATATACCACTTAAAACTTACAAATGCTCATCCAAAATTCATGACATGGTTGTAATAAACACTGCAGAATAGACTAACAATAGCTGCTATATAACTTATATCCTTGATTTACAGTTTAATCACATCAGTTACATCAATAGTACAAATCCTAAGCAACTTAATATACATTTCTTGCGAAACCAGTATTAAAGCATGCATAATGTTAACACTTCACCACCATTTGGTGAAAAACAAAAAAAGACAGTATTCATTTGCTGCTGGTTTAGGTAAAAGACATCACTATACTAATTAATAAAATTTTGCATAAAAATTGACATTTCCTAATTAAACGACTAGGATAGAAGAATACAAGAGCTTATTTTAGAATAACACCGCAGACTGTGATACTGTCTTTTACTCACTAAGAACATTCTATTCAGGGATCCAAGAATTTCCATAAATTCGTTCACTCAGCAATAGATTTCCATCTGCCCTGTTAAAAGATTAACTGCCACCAGTCTTCTGCATTAAAAGCAAGTCTCACTCTTCTTGCACTGAGCAGACTGTTCAAATATTTACTTGCCATGGGACTGGTGAAAAGGTTATTCTTGGAACCCTGCTGTTTTCCCAAACCACTGCATTCACCTTGTTGCTATACCAAACTGGACCTGGCAATTTTAGGAGAGATTTTTGTTTGGTTTTGTTTTGGTTTTTTTTTTTTTCCCTCTTTGGTTGTTGGTTTTGGTTCTTTTTTTGTATTTTTTTTTTTGTTTATTTGGGGGTTTTGGGGTGTTTTTTTTGGGAGGTAGGGGTTTAAGTTTTTTTTTTTTTTTGTAGTTGGTTGGTTGGTTTTGGGTCGGGTTTCTGCATTTATTTTTTTTTTTAAACCTAGGGGACCACGGTACAGCGATACGTCACTCAATTACTACCTTATGATTGACAGTTCACACTGGAATCAAAGGTGAATTCATGGGAGTAGAGGTGAGATATCGTTAGGCAAGTCTACAAAGAGAGATAGATGGGCATTTATTCATCACGCTGAAGTGAAACTACTGCACAATATAATCACATTAACAGTATATATTTACTTGTAAGTTACATGTAATGCATCTCCAATAAGATAAATCACGAGGGCTCCAGGGATGTTAGTTTACAGTTCAGCAGTAGTTTCATGAATAATGCTAAATTAAGGTAAACAGGACCTCACTGCCACATTTTTCTCACCTTCTTGTAAGGAGCTTCAAGCATTGCTTCAATATCAATATCATCAGCCATTTTTCAGGACACCTGAAAGAAGAAACAAAATCCACCTGAGACAGGAAACACCCTCATGGCTTTATATTCCAAAGGGTTTTTTTCCTTAAGAGATGATCACTGTATTGGCTCAAATTCCCAGAGCAGTGTCTCAGAAGACATTTCCAACAACAAGAACTGGAATGAAGTCCTGCCGAGTGAGATGACAAAGAATGCCACACAAAGCAATTATAACTGTGAACAACAAAATGCTATTGAACACAATTAGCCAATGGAAACCCCAGAGGTATTCAACCTACTTCTTTCAAAACAAAGAGCACAAAATATTTATGATACAGAAACACAGATCTGGTGGCCATCTTGAGAAGTACTAGAGCTTGACCAAAGGAACCAAGTGAGACACGTACATAACACAAACATTCAGGCAAACCTCTTCCCAGCTTCCTAGCATTTACTACCATCACATTTAGTAATCTGAAGACTTAAGCTATGGCCTTTAAAGAAACCGGAGCTCCTGAATAACGAGGGCCACAGAAGAAACAGTTGTGATTCAAGCATTAAAAGCTATTAAAGCATACACAAGATTCATCCAGTCTGGAACTTCATGTTTCAGACAAAAAAGAGCCACCATGACACGTAACACTAGTCACCACAAACTTTTTTCTTTTAAAAATTGTTCCTCTTATTTTTCAACTTCAACTCCCTAATGTAATTTTGTGTTTATTATGCTCTGAATGACTTTTGATATTTGATTTCCTTTCCCTGTACAAGTAAGTTATTAAGAACCTCTCCAGACTCTGCATTAAAGTACAGAAACTTAACTCCCTCAAATCCCTTTGTAACAGCTTCTCTCCTTTTTCTTTCTTAAGCTCAAAAATGGCCAGGCCTCTAGATCCAAGTCAGAGAGCCCCAGAATTAAGATTTTCCTACATGTGTGCCATAAAATGGATTTTTAATTATACAGGTTAATTCTCACACCTTGGTTAGAGGTAGGGCTGGAGGAACTGGGCTGTCCAAAGACTTGGCGAGCGTAATGAAATCACTCCAACATTTCAAGATCTCTTTAACTGAGATTATACCAGAGCTGCACCACACATAAGAATGAAGTCACACCCCCACCCACATCTGACCACTGCCCATTAATACAATCAAAAATAAAACATAATACTTTAGCAAACAGAGCACCAGAAGTTCATACTCAGTTACTTAACCAAGGCACACCAACCTTGTTTTCAAGTTAGTACTATAGCCCAAGAAGTAACATCACTTACAAATACGATCCTTAATTCATGTGTAATGGTTACTACACCATTTACGTTTAAGCTTTTCAAGTCATCCACATACATAGGTATGATTAATTCATGACTGCTCTACCAGTATTTGGTATGAACAAATACATCGGAATGATCAAGGTCCATGAAAAAAACAGGACAAACCCAGTATTCTACAAGGAAGTTCCCACTGGTGACAACTCCCACCCACAACTGTATTTTCAAATGTGTAGTTTAGCCAACATATCCAACTGCATCTGGGGTAGGATTCTTCTTCCAGAAGAGCGGTGGCCGGAGGGGGGCAGGAAGCCACAACAAGAACTGCCAAATCATGAGTGGCATGGAAAAGTGAATAACAGAATGACTATTACTGCATTCACCCAAATAATAAGAGTGAATGAACTACCATCCCGTGAGTTCAAAACAAAAGGTCCTTATTCACACAGAATTTAGCCATTGGATACCCTGTTACAGAGCACTGTGGATGATAACAAAGGAAAAAAAAAAAAAAAAAAAAAAACACACACACACCTACAGTGTTCAAAAAAAAAACCAAAGTAAAAAAAGCCCTAAAGTTTACAAAAAAAGCTTTTCATTAAACGAAGTCATGCCTTGTGGCCCTGAATCACAACTAGCTGACAACTAAGAGCACACAGAAAGAACTGTCACTGTATGACTACCCTGTGTTTTGTTAAGCCATTTACCGTTGGCCACCATCACAGACAAGATCCTGAGTTACATGAACCTTAGGTCTCCCCCATGCAATCTGTGCCCTTTGGACTCTGTACAAAACACTTTCATTGGTGTATTATGTTTTTATCAGAATACCTTCTATTCACACGACACAGGCCTACTATTGGCTTTTAAATTCATTTAATGTATATAACGATGATACACATCAAATTATTCTTTAAAAAAACATACAAAAGTCCTTATTTATTTCAGATTAATTGAAAACCTGTCATGATTTTCTACTATCCTTCATTAAACACTGAAAAAACACAAATTAGTTTTCATAAGTCTTTCAGTTTTATCAAAAAAGTTGCATATACCTAGCACCTCTGTAGAGACAAAAAAAAAAAAAAAAGAAAAAACAACCTAAACAGAAAAAACAACAACAGGAAAAACCCCAAAACAAGCAAGAAATTAATGACATTGGAAACCCTGTGAATCTACAGAAAACTTAAAGGGACACGAACTTTACTTCTACTGATCTACTAAGCATTCTGAAGGCACATTCCAACTTTCTGCTGTATTATATTACACAAAAGAAGTTTAAAAAGGTCCTCTCCTCGAGATTACTTGCTTTTGAAATTCCAAGAAATTACAGTTCCGCTCTCGCTTTCCAAGGAGCCTCCTGCACAAGCACCAGGAAAGTCCAAGTAGAACATCAGATGCTTGGGAAGCTCGGCTCCCAGCAGGACACGCACCTCTGCCCTGCACCCTCCCTGCGCGATCAGAACGTAACGGCTCCAGGTTCCCCAACGCGCCGCCGCGCTAGGACCCCGCTCCGAGCCCCGCGCCCACCACCGGCCCCCGGTCCCCGCGGCGGCAGCAGCCCCAGAGCCGCTCCCCGCCGCTCCGCCCGGGCCCCGGCCGCCGCAGCGGCGCGCCAGGGCCGGAGCCCCGCGGCCCGGGCTGGCCGCTCCGCACAGCGCCATCGCGGGGGGGAGCCAGGGAGGGGCAGCGCCGCGCCGGGGCCCGGCGGGGCCGCCCGCTACGTGGCCAAAGGAACACCCAGAGCCTACGCGGCCGGGCCGCGACCTCGGGGCGCGGGCAACCCGCCGGGCGCTACGGCCGCGGAAAGGCGCGGGACGGACGCCAGCGGGGACGAGGGACGGGGCCGTGAGCGAGCAGGAGGCGACCGCGGCGGCGGGAGGGGCGCGGGCCTCCCGGGCCGCCCGCAGGCTGGGCGCCACGGCGCTGCGCGGGCCCGGCCCGCGGCTCGCCCAGCGGCGGGGCCCGCCCCCCCCGCCCGGCAGTACCTGCGCCACGGGCGGGTGCTGTCTGTCCTCCTCCGAGCGCCGGCGGCCCCGCGGCGGCGACGGCGGCTCCCGGCCGCGGCGCGGACTGCGCTGGCGGTGGGGGATGGGCCCGAGGGCTCAGGAACCCTTCCTCGGGCGCCTAAACCTCGGGTGGCAGGCGGCCGCTCGGGCAGCCCCGGTGCGGCAGGCCGGCGAGGGGCAGCGCGACCGTGGCGAGGGGTCCCCGGACCCGGGCTGCGCCCCGGCGCTGGCGCCGCTGGCTGCTCCCCGAAATGGCGCCCGCCGCGTCGGGCTGCTCGCGAGCTCGGCGCACGACACGGGGGCGCCCAGCGCCCCGGCGCAGGGGCTCTCGCGAGACGCAGGGCCAGACGAGGCACCAGCGCCGATCGCCTCTCGCGAGACGCCGCGCCCGTCAACGGCGGGTCGAACGCTCGCGAGACTTGGGCAGGCGGGCGGGGCCGTCACGTGCCCTCCGGCTCTCGCGACAGCCCGCGCGCACGTCTGGGGCTGGGCGGGAGGTCAAAGGTGACCCGCGGGGAGGGGGCGAGTCCCTGCCCCGCCATGGCTGAGGGGCGCTTGGCGGGGAGCAGCCGTAACCCCGGGCCGGCCGGGATTTCCTGGGGGCTAGCGCCCCAGCGCCCAGCCCCGTCACGGCCTCTTGCCTTCTGGCAAACTTGCGGCAACTCCTCCGCTCCGCAGGTCCTATTCTCTTGCATGCCACAACCTGTGTCTTGGCTCCGCACAGGTGTCCTGTCCAGATTAGGTGTGTTTGCTAGGGAAAGTGTTATTTTTTTCCCCTGTTTGAGCACCGTGTAGCCAAAAGTGGTTTTACAGTCTCATGGCTCCAAAAGCCGTGTAAGGTGTTCAGATGCTTATTGTGCTATACAGTTGCTGGAACAAGTGTGTATCCCATTTAGGCAGGCCATTTGACAGGTGTCCCAATTTATACCCACATCTGTTACATCAAATAACTAAGTGCTTGATGTAAAAGAAAACTAACACCTTTCCTCAGATCCCAGTTGTCCCTTGTGTTAACATCTCCAGTGTAAGCATCGCATCCTGGGTGGCAGCTCCAAGTGAGAAGGGTGTTGGGGATCTCGTATCAGAGGGAGGAAAGCCCCTTACCTTTTTGACAGGTGGAAAGAACTGATTTGTTGTGACAAATACACAATGTGTGTAAGTCATGTCCAGGTCAGGAAGCCCCTGAGATGCTGATGCTGGAGCCTGAGAGCACAGGAGGAAACATCAGATGTGCTTACCTGGTTGAAATACTTTTATCATGCCTTGGGATAATGATCTAGAGGAGCGTTACAGATTTGCTGTTTCAAGCCTCTTATTTACTGTATAGGAGAAAGGGACAGAGCAGGTTAGATCATCGATTGGGCAGGGGAGTAAAATTGTTTGTGTTCCTTCACAATTAGTTCTTCTGATGTGATGATTTAACCGTGCCAGTGGTCTGACCTTCCTCCCTTTGGCTGAGGGCTGGACAGGATTAATTATGTTTATTAAGAGTAACAACACCTGAAGGTGTTACAGCTGTACCCTTCTGTCAGAAACTACACCCCCCCATAATGGGCCACCACTGCCTGACAGCTTTTTAGCCACTTTAGTTCCAAGCATAACTTAAATGGCTAGTGACCTGGCATTCTGGTGCGGCTTTTAGCCCAAGCCCCTGCAGATTGCTGGAGCCTCGAAGCTGAATGGTTTAACTCAGAAAATAAGTAGTGTTTTGTAAAACAGAACCCACTTGTCTCATTAACAGTGCTTCATTTCCCATGGGAGCCCACAAAATGGCTCATTTATATTTAATAATACGCAGTAAGTTTTGGCCAATTGTTCAACACAGTGTAGATAACATTGAGTGAGTTTCCTGCTGAAGTCAGCACAAGATAAGCAATAATGGCTGGGGGTTTTAGTTTATTTTTTTGTTGCCCCACGAATCCAAAACAATGTAAAGAGAAGTTCTAAACAAACTGTGCCTCCTGAAATGATAATTTTGCTATTGCATATAGAAATATTTAAACCAATTAAGGTATAATAACTCAGCCCTATAGATTTTCAAATGAAAACCTGTTTTCGTGAAACTCCCAAGCTATTGTGTCATTTAATGTCATTTCTAATAAAGTTGCTGAAATGCTAATAGCCTAAAAAGATCCTGAAGCTCTTGTACAGTGTGTCCAAGTCTTTCTAAGCTGAACTGGTCAACTTAATTGAGTTTGGGACATTTAGGAAAAATGAGCTGTTTAAAAATAAAAAATAAAAAAAAAAAAAAAAAAAAAAAGCATTGGCTATAGTAAGCCAATTCCAACCTAATAATTTGTGTACAGGTTGGCTGTAAACAAAATTAATGATTTTTTCACAGACAAAATGAGGTTTATTGTGCTGCCGGTTCCTACTGCTCCCAGTCAGCCACAGCCCCCTGAAGGTCAGGGCAGGTCTAACCAGCTCTGTATTCTTTGTTCTCTCATCACTGCAACTTAAGCGTGTGTTCAGGCTCATTTGGTGGATTTTCCTGAGGGTTTTCTCTCCCATTGCTTGCCTGTGGAGCCACGCTCTGAAAGGAGGCCAGACGTCTTTTTTTATCTACTGCACTAACACCTGCCTCGGCCTTGGCTCGTGCGGGAGAAGGGATGAGCCCAACAGGCCTCGGGCTGGCTGCTGACCGACCGCGTGGGGATGGCTAATAAGGGACCTTGACTGGCAAGCGGCTACACAGGCTGCGTGTCCAGCCGTGACTTGACCCGCAGGAGCGGCTGGCTCAATCCACAGTCGTGTCGGGGGAACGCCGGCCATTGCCGGTCCTCCTTCGTCATCCCTGGCTCTGCTACGCAGGCCAGGGGGCTTGCTTAATGGACGGCGCTGGGGAGGCGCAGAGGGTCTGGGGTGGGGGTCATTCCTGTTACCCCGCCTGCCGGGTGGTGGAAGGGATCGCTCAGAATTAACGAAAAAAAAAGTTTAAAACAAGCGTGAGGAAAAAAGAACGATTCCTTCCCACACCGGGAGTCGAACCCGGGCCGCCTGGGTGAAAACCAGGAATCCTAACCGCTAGACCATGTGGGACCGCATACGTGGGGGCCCTGCCGCGCCATCTGCCGCCTGCGCCGCCGGCCCGCGCGCCGCCGGCCCGCGCGCCGCCGGCCGGGGGGGTCACCCCGCAGGAGCGGGGCGGGGGGCGGGGGGGCTGCGGACACCGGCGTCGAGTTACGGGGAGCCGTGCCACTGAGAAAGCTGCTGTGCCAAACCCCGCAAAAGTTAGGGTCGTCCTTCCCTAAGCCATCAAAATTCTTTCAGTTAAAAGATGGGGATGGAGGCTGACAACACTGAAGAGGGAGGAAATGACACGTGGGAGGATGAACAGGTGCAGCCCAAAAAGGTACAGAAACTGGGTTAAGAGGCACAAATATGCTTCTGTACAAATCCTAGCAATCAAAATATAAATTGGAACAACTGAACTACCCGGTTTTGACTGAGAACAACCTTATCAGAAATTGGTGCAAAGGGGACATTGTGATAACTGACTACAGATTATACAGAAAGAAACGACTAAATTGTGCTTGTGGAGGAATGATGCTGGATGCCAAAGAAACCTCAGAGTCAGTGTGCCTCAATGATTTTAGTCTTCCAACATGTAACACTAAACCCATATAATTAGAAAATTCACACCTAAATATGCAAAGGGGAGTATTAGGACTACTGTAGTGAACAGTCTTCAGAGCCAGTGCTGGTGACAGTGATATATTTAGGAGATCAGAAAGGCTGCCAAGGCAGAAAACATCATCACAATGAAGTCTCCAATTACCCCCATACTGAGTGAGTAAATGTCACATCAGCATATGATGTAGTTGCTACATTTTGGATACCACAAAGGCTGGATTTTTGGAGTGGTTGGTCGGAGAACATAAAAGAAGAGACTGGGTTTAGTGCTGAGATGTGTCAGGGGCTTTATTCAAAACTGTGCTATTCAAAAAGCTATGTATAAAAGTGAGTATAATGTATTAAATCTGGTGTCATTAAAAGAAAAACAGCAACAAAGAACCTCCTCCCAAAAGAGTTTATTAAAAAATGAATAAGCCAAAAGGATGACATGCTTGTAAGAAGCATGGAGGCTGCTAAAATGTCTCAGAACAGTTTCTATCACCAGGAGAAAAAACTGAAAATAGACTGCTATGGTTGCAAAGCATGGTAAAGCAAGCTATTGAACTATTAAATACCCTTCCAATTGTGAAGCTGGTGCAGACCATGTCCATGTGACAGCAGAGAAGATCCTGAATAGGATCCAAGGTGTCAAGTGGATCTCATGGTAACCGCATAAGGTAGATTCCAGCCGATCCCGTTTCCTTGCATGGATCCCAGCTGCAGCTCACTGGCCCACACACAGTTGCTGTGGTTTGTGCTAGGGACATGAGGAGGGATTGGCTTCCAGCCAAAGGTCCCTGCTTTTTTTTGTCAGGAGATGATCGTAGTCCATCTCTGTGAGATGAGGAAAAATTTGCTCCTCAAGGACTGGGGATTTTAACTTCTCCCATGCACCAACCTGTGCCTGTCCTCAGCCTCTCTTCCAGTCTCAGTGCTGCACAATGCTGCTTCTCCTTCCAGAAACTCTGGGAAGGTGTCAACAGAAGGAGCAGCAGTGCCAGCACCTGCAGCCCTCTCACTCTGCTCAGGAATTGCATATGAGGGAAGGTGAGAGGTCTCAATTTATTGACCACTCCTGGAGATCAGGGCACTGGGAGAGGTAGACCTTTGGCTTTATTTAGACTGACCATGCTCACGCTGTTATCATACCTGCTGCTCTCAGGGCCCTGAGGGTGCTAACGAGCTCTTACAGCTCTGACCAGCCTCACCTGGGTCTTGCACGCCCTGCCCAGGAGCCCCAGTGTGGATCAGTCCTGGGCCCTCAGTCCCCACCTGAGCTGTGTTGGAGGTCCGCTTGTCTCCAGCGCTCTCGGCGATGTGCCTGTGGCTGTGCCCAGCCCTTGGTCTCTCTGACCCTGACCTGCAGGCTCACTGCCTGGCCTGGGCTCTGCCTTGTCACTACAAACCTGCATGGCCGTCACCGGGCTCTGTCTGACTTCAGTTACCATCACTGGCTTGATCCTGACCTGCAGAGTGACTGCCCAGTTTTCCTGACTACCTCAGACCTCTCTCCTCTAACAACAGCTGATCACAAAGGGTAGCCACGGAGGAACTTGGACAGAGATGCATGCATTCATGTTGTCAGCACCCAGCCCGCGTGCACAGCACTCAAATTAAAATACAAGAACCCGTTTGTTGAGTTGGTCTGCTTAGTAGATATCCATGATATTTAAAAACTAGCAATGAGCAGCTTTCAAAA